TTTGAATGTTCTGATAAATCTATTTGTTTCTTAGCTTCTTCAATATCACCTTGGATTGCTGAAATATGTGACTCTAAAGAATCAAAGTTCTTTTCTGGTCTGAATTAATTGATATGGCCACATTGAGGATTTCCCCATGGAAGTTCTCTGAAGGTATGCATGATAGGAGTCTCCATGGACTTATTTGCAATGCCAGCAATTTTTTTTTTTTTTTTTTTTTTGAGACAGAGTCTCACTCTGTTGTCTGGGCTAGAGTGCCATGGCATCAGCCTAGCTCACAGTAACCTCAAACTCCTGCACTCAAGCCATCCTACTGCCTCAGCCTCCTGAGTAGCTGGGACTACAGGCACGTGCCACCATGCCTGGCTAATTTTTCTGTACATTTTTAGTTGGCCAATTAATTTCTTTCTATTTTTAATAGAGACGGGGGTCTCGCTCTTGCTCAGGCTGGTTTTGAACTCCTGAGCTTGGGCCATCCTCCTGCCTCGGCCTCCCAGAGTGCTAGGATTACAGACGTGAGCCACGACGACCGGCCACTAGCAATTGTTTAGAACTTATATCAGTCAAAGATTTTCAGGAAGGAGCATTTTATCACTGATATTGTTGAGAATGGCTGGCATGATGATAATAAGAAAGCAGCCTCCAGTTGGTTTTATGATTGTTTTTAAATTCTGTACATATAGTGCAGCCTCCTATTATTTGCTGCCACTTTCTATTCTTGGTGTCAAAGAGAAACAGAGTGGAACACTAGCTGCAGGCTGCACCAGTGGACTTTATTCAGTACTGTTGCAATAGGGGAGAGAGACTTCAATATGAAAGTGAGCTCAATTCTAAATACAGCAGGGACTGCTGGAGGTCTGAAGCCAGTGAGCAGAGTGAGGGGGATCAGTAGAGGGAGAATTACTAAGGGGAGACTTCAAGGGTAGGGGATTTTTGCTAAAGTGACCCATCAGGATCCTTGCTAAAGGCCAACCAACCACTTATACATCAAGGGTAGGGGATAAGAAACTTGACCACATAATACGGGTATTTCAAGGTCACCCTTGAGTGAAAAAAATCAAGGGTGATCATATATCAAGGGTGGGGGGATTCCTGCTAAGCTGACTTAGCAGCATTCTTGCTACAACAGGGCCAAGGACAAGACCTGAGGACAGAGTCTGTTTGAAGAGAAAGCTCAGGGCCCAAGGACAAGGTTTAGTTAAAAAGAGGGCTCAGGCCAGCATGGTGGCTCACACCTGTAATCTTAGCACTCTGGGAGGCCGAGGCGGGTGGATCGGTTGAGCTCAGGAGTTTGAGACCAGCCTGAGCAAGAGTGAGACTCTGTCTCTACTAAAAAAATTTAAAAAATAAATTAGCTGGAAAACTGAAAATATATAGAAAAAGTTAGCCGGGCATGGTGGCACATGCCTGTAGTCCTACTTACTCGGGAAACTGAAGCAGGAGGATCGTTTGAGACCAGGAGTTTGAGGTTGCTGTGAGCTAGGCTGATGCCACAGTACTCTAGCCTGGGCAACAGAGTGAGACTCTGCCTCAAAAAAATAAAAAATAAAAAAAGAGTGTTTAGAGGAGCCTGACAAAACTTTCATCAAGGACAGAGTCTTTGTCAGTGGCTGCTGGAAAGTACATTATTGGTGAAATATGAGTTAGTTCTGGAAATAAGTAGAGAAGTAATACAGAAAGGATGAGCCATTAAAAAAAGCCTTATTTTTAAATTTCTTCATCATAAAATTACAAAGCCTAAAGCATTATTAGTTAGTTTGTCAATGTCACTAATACATAACAAAACCTAGGAAACAAATTTGTACATGATATAATTTTTTTTGTCATTTTTGTCTTTTTTCTCCAGTTATATCAAATGTTAAGTATCAGACAACTCAACTAATCTTTCACCACTTTCAGCAGGCAGTTTCTCACTTGCTTTTGCACGTATAGCCCTTGAACTTGTGTCTGGATCAGCTGAGCAGTGTTTCTCTTTTAAAGGGCAAGAGAGTATCCTTCCATGGTGGCACAGTGCCCTTAGAGTGATGATGTTCTGGTAGTACCCATCTTTTTGTCTTGGTCTGCTAAGAAAAATTCTGACACTGCCCCCGGGTTACCTTCCCTCCCTGGATCTAATCCAGATTAGTTTTGGGAAGAAAGAGAGAGATGGGAATACAGGATTTACATCAGGAAGGGCCTCGGGGTTTACTGAGGACTGACTCCAGTGGTAGGCCAAGGTAAATGGAAAACATCCCCTGGGGTAGAAGTTTTCAGAGTGTGGCTGGAGAGTTGAGAGCAGGACTAGAGAGTGAGTCTTCTGGAGCATGCAAGAAATACTAAGCAAGAGGAATGTAGTGTGAGGATTTTTTAGGTGCGGTGCTGGGGGTGATAAATTAGACCGCTTCCCATTCTTTAGGAGATGCAGGCAAAAATGATAATGACTTGTAAAATATTTTGTGATTGTTGGATGGTGTTTCTTATAAGAGGAAACCTTGCCTTGAGGCTGGCTGTGCTCTGAGAGGCCTGACTCGTATGAGTGACATCAAGAAAGCTTTAGTTTGGGGTGCAAAGCTGAGTGCTAGGTCCCTTTAACAGTCACAATATAGTAATGAGGCAGCTTCAGTTTCTGACCTGGACCTGGTGGAAGTAAATTGATTCCACTCCTCTGAGAGCTAGCTTGAATCCGGTGACTGTTCTCTCAATTCCTCCCGAGAGAGGATGCAAGGGGGTGAAAACTGGCTTTGAGACACCCCTGGCTGATCATAGATCTAATAAATGGACAAAGAAAACAGTGACGCTTCTTCCAGACCTGCGGACCTGAAAGTGAGTACGGTGTGAGGAGCCTCCTCTCCTACTTGAATACCATTCATTGTTGACCCTGTTAGTAAAATGAGATTGAGTGACTTTATAAAAGTAAAGGGAATAATAATGAAATACTTTCTCTTCTTAGGGTACTTAATGGATTTTACAAATACCAGCTTGTTTTAAAGTGCTGCACTTGGCAATTGATTCGTAGCTGTTTTTCTGAAACTCCAGGGAAATTGTACTGATCTCTACACAAATTCCATTTTAAAATTTAATCAGTGCTAACTGAGACTGCCTATAATGTGTTCCTGCACTTAGAGGTCCAACCTTGGCCTTTGTCAGTTCTACAAGTACTGGCATCTCTGTGTGTTTCTCTCTCTTACTTGTTTGGGAGGAGTACTTGAAAATAGCTTGACACCATAGTCGGCTGAACTCTTTCTACAATGGAATGTTTTTCTCTTTAGAAACACCATCCTCACTCTAGCAGGACACCAAATTCAGTGAGTCTGATCTAGTTCAATTTCACCCAGAAGGATACAAGCGACATTTCACTCCGGGGCTGACAAGGGTGTTTGGCAAAAAGAATGAGGGAGCTATGAATAATTCAGAGTGTACTTGGCCACATATTATCCCATTAATTGGTAGGATTAAAGACTGAAATACATGAATTTTGAAGGGAAGAGAGAGGGAGAGTGAGAGAGAATGAAAGCACTCTTGAGGAAAGCACAAAAGAGAGACTGTTTTCTGCCATTGGTGTTCTATATGGCTGCCTTTAAGAGAATGTGTGGTTAAAAGTTATTTCATCACTGGAGTTTAGTTACCCTGACATGTATAAATCTCTCCCTCAAAGAAGCTAAACTCTCGCATATATTATTAAAGAATTCACAGCATCAAATGGCAGAGGGTGGAGGAGAAAATAAAAGAACAGGAGGGGAAACAGTTGAATAATGTATTTTTTTCCTCCCGCACATAACACTTTGCCCATAAACACACTTAAACCAAACATTTTCTAATCTAATGAGTCTTCTATTTTGTTCTTCGATTTATTTTTAAATTATTCTTTTGCTTATAATTGGGAAACTGAGTCACTACTCAGTTCAGTGGCTGGCAACTGTAAAAGAAGGACATTTTGTTCTTATTCTACAACCCTACCCAAATCATCACTTGCCTTAACATTTTCTTCCTGCCTCCCAGGATTCAAAAATTTGAAATCAATTCATTTCTCTGGGGAACTCATTTATGTTCTCATTTATGATTCTACCTCAGCTCAGAAATAATTGGCTGTGAGAAAAAAGCAATATAGTACAAACATTTGAAACACACACACACAGAGCTGTGTATACAAATGAATCTACCCACACAGAATCTTTTTTTTTTTTTTTTGAGACGGTCTCACTTTGTTGCCCAGGCTAGAGTGAGTGCCGTGGCATCAGCCTAGCTCACAGCAACCTCAAACTCCTGGGCTCAAGCAATCCTCCTGCCTCAGCCTCCCAAGTAGCTGGGACTACAGGCATGTGCCACCATGCCCGGCTAATTTTTTCTCTATATATTAGTTGGCCAATTAATTTCTTTCTATTTATAGTAGAGACGGGGTCTCGCTCTTGCTCAGGCTGGTTTTGAACTCCTGACCTCGAGCAATCCGCCCGCCTCGGCCTCCCAGAGTGCTAGGATTACAGGCGTGAGCCACCACGCCTGGCCTACCCACACAGAATCTTAACCTTGACCTCCTGACCCCAAGATCCTTCAGTCTACTTTACCCATGACCTCTTCTCCACAGCATCTGTTTAGCAGAGTTGGAGAGTTGAGGAGAGGATCTGGGGACCATTTTACTAGGGTTCATATACAGTATTGTCTAGGTTTCCTAATCTTCATTGTATAACTTGATGCAAATCAATTTATTAAATGTATGTAAATAATTTGACTGATAAATTTAGGCTTTTTAACACCAAGATCTCCTGACTGGACAGTTCCGTTTAAGCTCTACATTACTTCTAGTTGATAATACATCTTTTATTTTTTTTTTTAAAGATATCCAATATCTCAGTTCAGGTGGTCAGTGCCCAAGGAAAGCTGCCAGGGAGACGACCACCGTTGCCTGGGAGACCACCACGAAAACCCATTGGTAAAGTCAAACCCAAACCAAAGAAGCAGTCCAAGAAGAAAGTTCCCTTTTGGAATGTCCAAAATAAAATCATTCTCTTCACAGTATTTTTATTCATCCTAGCAGTCATAGCCTGGACACTCCTGTGGCTCTACATCAGTAAGTTAAACACTGTGCTCCTTTGGGGTTAGGGCTTGTGTCTTGAGTCCAGCATTAGCCATGCAGGCCAGACCTGCCCCTGGGTATTTTTGAAGGCATCCTACTTTTTCCAAGACTGATACACCATTTCCCAAACTGGTGTTGATGTTTTAAGGAGAGAGAAACCAGAATTGTCTTTTTCATTTCTTCTTTCACCACCATCACTTTCTTCCCAGAGGAGAGCAGGACCAGGAGATGGGGGGTAGGATGGGAAGAGCTGAGGAAGATGCTCAGGAGATTTTGACTGATTCAGAAATGTAACAGCTTTAAAAAAAGGAAAGGAGTGCTAAGTTGTTTCATTTCCTCATTCCACCCACCTCCTGTTTCTAGGCAACCTTAAATTTCCAGCTTCCTGAGCTCCATTTTACACATGCGTCTTTCTCTCCCCTGTTATTATGTTTTTGTCCATCTGATTGAGCCTTTTGGACAGGTGTCATAACTAAACCCTTTCTCACAGAGTACTTAGTCATGCAAGGATGGCATTTGTTGACTTGTGTTGGAGTTCTCATTCTGTACTTGTTCATGCATTTGTACAAAATACATGTCCTGTGACATAATGTGAAATATATATTTGGTCTCTGCTCCTCATGTGTGACACAGAGCTTCTAACATTCTGTAACTTCCTAAGTGATGGGGTGATAAGAGCATCTTTTGTTATTTAAATATATATATATGTATTTGTTATAATATTTGGTCTTAGTCTCTGGTTCCTAGTGCAGTGCTTCTAAGAATATCTTTTTTTATGTTAATGATATGGCTGGTGGGGGAAAGCCCCTAGAGAGCCCAAGGAACCAATCCTCTGATTAGAAGGCTATAACTTTCAGGAGGGGGGTGGAGGTTGAGCTCAATCACCAATGGACAATGACTTAATCAATTGTGCCTACATAATGGACCCTCCATAACACCCTTAACTGACAGGGTTCAGGAAGTTGTCCGGTTAATAAGAATACTCAATTGCTGGGAGGGTGGGCTGCTACAACTCCACAGGGACAGAAGTTCCCATGCTAGGAACCCTTGGGGACCTCACCCTCCGTGCCTCCTCATCTGGCTGTTCATTTGCATCCTTTATAATAAACCAGTAATAGTAAACTATTTCCTTGGGTTCTGTGAGCCATTATAGCAAATTATCAAACCTGAGGGGCTCATGGGAACTCCCAGTTTGTAGCCAACTCACACAGCAGTGTTGGTGGCCTAGACTCAAAACTCCTGCTGGGCATCTCAAGTAGGGGGCAGTCTTATGAGAATGTGCCCTTAACCTGTGGGTTCTGACACCAACTCTGGGTAACTAGGATCAGAACTGAACTGAACTGTTGGACACTCAGTTGGTCTGCAGAGAATTGGAGAATTTCTTGGTGTGGGTGAAAAAAAAACACACTGATGTTGAAAAGTGTTGTTAGTAGACAAACAGTTTTCCTAGATATACCCCCAAGGATATTAAAATCTGATGAGAAGGCAAGAGTTATAGGCAAAGAATTAAAAAATATTGTCTTGAGCAGTTCAGGATATATATATATATATACACACACACACACACACACACACAGAAATTGATCACCTATAATTTTCTTGGCACAATGTAGGGAGGGCATCAGGCATACCAAAATGTATCTCCTACCTTCAAAAAGCTCACAGATGCATATTCTATTTTAGAAAAGCTCACAGTTCAGTGCTGGAGAGAGAGCATGAGTTCACAGAAGAGAGGCATCCAATCTGCCCAGGGATAGAGTCCAAGAACGCTTCATGAACTGGTTTCTGAAAATTTATTTGACACATATTGAGCGTGCCCACTATGTGTTGGGTGCTGTGCTAGGTAGGCATGGGGAACAGAGTGATAACCAAGATATGATCTCTATCCTCAAGGAGCTTAAAGACTGGTGAGGGAAGTCAAGTCCATGGGCAATTAACACAAACCCCCACCCCCAGCCCAGAACAAACCAACTTATCTCCCATCATTTCTCTGCTGTACCTCCACTGACAAATTTGCATTGTCCTAGCATTTTTTTCATTTCTTTTTTTTATCTTTATTTAATTTTGATTTTAATTATTTATTGGCTTATCCCTGACTTGAGATGCCCTAGCATTTTTGTATAAAGTTTTAGAACATCCTTGTACAGAAGTAGTTTGTTGGCTGTGTAAAAATACAGAGAAGAGCATTTCATGGAAAGATATTGGTATGAACAAAGGGAAACTGGTATGAGCAAGTAAGCACTACCCAACAGGAAACAAGTGAGCTTTGATACATGAAATCTGAGTGTGGAGGGTGACCTTGAGAAATGAGGTAGACAGCTAATCAGGGACACCACAGAGGGTCTTGCACATTGGGCTGAGCTAAAGGGTTAGGTAAATATAAGCTAATTTAATGCTGACTTGATCTCCCTTGCATTGTTGTTGTCCTGAATCCTCAGTACTTCCTGATAGGAATGTGTGAGTGTCTAGAAAGAAGCCATAGCTTTCATTCAAATTTTAAAGAGTCTGCAACAATAAAAACAACAAAACTAAGAAGCACTTCCCTAGTTAAAAAAAAAAAAAAAAGCAAAACCAGCAGTCATTTTACATGAGAGGGTTAGGGAGGCAAGGTGATCTGCCCAAGGTAACGTAACCTGAAGGAACAAATCTAGGACAGGAGTTCAGGCCCCCTGCCCCCTACCCTCCACAGCCTTGCTACACTGCTTAGGGCTAAGGTGACCTTGGCTGGGTCACGAAAGGGAAGCTGCTTCCTATCACTCACATAGGTTGCACCTTCTTTTTAACTCAGCCACCATTTATTTAGCATTTCCATGTGCTGAGCCTTGTATGAAGAAGGAATACTCTCTCTTTCTCTCTCCCCACATTCTTCCTCCCTTCCTTCCCTCAAACATTTATTGGGCTTCAAAGGTAAGGCAGACGCTGGCTACATTAGGGGCTGAAGAAAAAAGTAAGTTAGTGGTTGTTTCCTCAGAGAGCTCAAAAAGAGATAGACAGGCTGACAGAGTCATGGTGCAGCGGGTTATGTGCCATGAGAAAGGAAGGCACCGGGTCGTCAGAGTCTTCTAACCTCGTTTTTAAGTATTTGCCAGAGCAGGCAGTAGGAATTGAGCATTCTAAGAGATGTGGTTATTTGCTGCTGATGGAAGAGATGTTGTCAACTTTGTTTGGAGCTCCATGGGCTATGAACCAGTTAGATATGTAGCTGCCTAAAATAAGATCATTTTAGGAGCCTGATACTGACATAGCGCAGACAATGCCTTTCTGCCACACAGATGGGAAAGCCTCCTGATCGCCTTCTCTCCTCTTTTACAGTTAAGACAGAAAGCAAAGATGCGTTTTACTTTGCTGGGATGTTTCGCATCACCAACATTGAGTTTCTTCCTGAATATCGACAAAAGGAGTCCCGGGAATTTCTTTCCGTGGCACGGACTGTGCAGCAAGTGGTGAGGGGATGAGGGCAGAGGGCTGAAGGTCTGGGGAGGGTGGAGTGGAGAGGGGTGAGGGGACAAGGGAGGGACCACAGATGTCACCCGTAAGCGGGGCTTAGGGAAGTAGAGGGCAGGGTGGGTGAAGGAGGCTGTCAGAGGGAAACATGGGATTTAGCTCATCTTGGCTATAAGAGAATTGCTCTCCCCCCCACCCCTGCCCCCACCTAACATAAAAAGAAATGGCTCCCTCAGCGACAGTTTTTCTCATCTGTGAAATAAAGAAATTGGAACAAGTGACCTTTAAAATGCCTTCCAGTTTCAAAGTTACATGCATACTGATAAATTTTGTGATCATACACAAAATTTATTTCAACCTTGATGCACTGGCAATCTCTTCACTGTTAAAAATAACTTTCTCATTATAGGACTAATAATTATTTATTATAAACATTAGCAAAATTCATAAAATTATTTTAAGAATCATTAAAATCTTCTTTAACGTCATCACCAGAGATAAAACTCCTTTTTATTCTGGGCTACATAGACATAGGGGATAGTGCAATATTGGGACACTAGTAGATATTCAGTTTTATAATTCAATTTTTTTTCTCTTAACATGATATTTTTATGCAAGTAAATATTCTTTAAAGAAACATAAGTCTTGATAGCTTCAAAGTTAGCAAATTTCTTTTTAGTGTTTGTTTTAAGCTATTTCCAATTTTTGCCACTATAAATAATGCAACAGCAAAACTGCCACATAAATTATGTGTATCTCAGATTACTCCCTTAGGTGATTTCCTAAAAAGTATGATTACTTGTCCAAATAGAAAAATATTAATTTATGTCTCCTAGCACATATTGCCAACTAGAAAGGTTCTGCCGATTTGTAACTCCACTGTGGAAATACAGTGGTGACCTTGATGCAGTGACAGGCAGTGTAGAATGAGGCAAGTTGTGAGAGACAGGGCCAGCAGTCAAACGCAATGGTGATTAGAGTGGCTCTTGTTTATTGAATGTCTTCTTTATACTAGGTATGTCACTAAACCTCTTAATTCTGATATATATACAGTCATGTGTCACTTAATGATGGAGATTCACGCTGACAAATGCATCGTTAAGTGATTTCTTCATTGTGTGAACATCACAGAGTGTACAGTACTTAAACAAACTTTCATGGAATAGCCCACTACACACCTAGGTATATGGCATAGCCTGTTACATCTAGACTACAACCCTGTACAGCATGTCACTGTACTGAACACTGTAGGCAGTTGTAATACAGATCAGTAAATAGGAATTTTTCAGCTCCATTATAATCTTTTGCGACCACCTTTGTCTTTTTTCTTTTCATTTTTTTTTATTTCGGCATATCATGGGGGTACAAATGTTAAGGTTACATATATTGCCCATGCCCCCCTCCCTCCTCGAGTCAGAGCTTCAAGCGTGACCATCCCCCACACGTTGCACATCTTACTCACTGTGTTTGTATATAACCATCCCCTCCTCCCCCTCCCACCTGTCCGACACCTGATAAATGATATTCCTATGTGTCCACTGAGGTGTTGATCCGTTAATACCAATTTGCTGCTGAGTACATGTGGTGCTTGTTTTGGGGGGACCACCTTTGTATATGCGGTCTGTCATTGACCTAAACGTCAATTCGTGGTACATGACTGTACTCCACTTAGTCTTCAAATTCTCCTAAGGAGGTAGGCATTTTGATCGGTACTTTATGGTTGAAAAGAAAAAGAAAAAAAACTCAACAGGTTTAGGTACCATGTTCTGTGTTGCATAGTGAATTTAAGCTCTGCAGCTCATGCTTTTTCCACTATATTTTATAATTTCTAAGGTTTTTTTTTTCAATCCTGGGCAATTATGTAGGTGGTTTCCAATTATGTAGGAAGGGGAATACTGGAGGAGGAGATGACGTGGGAGAAGAGAGTGAGTTTGTTTTTAGAAATGCTAAGTGAGGGCAAAGAAGGTCGCAGGGATGGGGAACCTAATGCCTTTCCAAAGGATCTAGAAGGATCTAGAAGGCCACATGTGGCCTTTAGGCGCCAGGTTCCCCACCCCTGACTGGGCCCTGCCCTAAAGACTAGGAATTCTGAAGGGTCTTGGTGGACCTGGCTGTGAGCACCACTCGCCCCCTAGTGGCTAATGTAGGAACATGTCTCGCTCTGATGGGGAAGGGATTGGGTCAAATACTGTACTATGAAAATGTGCTTAAATGAGTTAGATTTGTTAACTGTGGAGAAAATTAACCTTTAGAGTGGACAGAATACAGAAGTTAAGCTTGATTAGAGTCTTTAAAGAGACCAATCAATGCATGAAGGTAACTGATTTTTCACAGACAGAATGAAGGTAAGTAACCCAAGAATTACAGCAGGAAGTAAGAATTTATTTGAATTCAAGAAATAATGTCTGTGTTTCAAGTTAAGAGCTTTAGTTTGAGGCTTGCTCTTCTCTTCTCAGAGCTTGGAACTACAATAGACAAGATGCTTTCAAAGGAAGACAAGTTTGAAAGACTTAAGACACTTCAATTCTTTTTCAGGTAAACCTGGTTTATACCACATCTGCCTTCTCCAAATTTTATGAGCAGTCTGTTGTTGCAGATGTCAGGTAATATGTGTCCTTTGTTTGGGGATTTCTGCGTTCACTTCTATAAATTCCACTTAACTCTGTGAAAAGGCTGAGATTCCATCATTCTCAAGTGACTTTGTGGGTTAATGACCTATCAGCACAACTGGTGACCTGACCCTTTGCCATGCTGTCACTTTGTGTTTTTGCTTTTTATCTACCAATTCCTGCTTTCTCCCCACAGCTGGAATCATGGTCCCCATGTCAGTGCCACTGGGCAAAATGCTCACAAATGTGGCTACCACAGTGGGTGGAGGTGGAGAAAAAGATAAAGCAAAAAACACTATTTCTCAATGTCCAGTGAAAAACTGGTCACTAGAGATCTTCTGAGGAAAAAAGAATTTCATGGACAAATAATTTTTAGAAAAAATTGTGCACCGTGTACTATATCCCACTGCCCTCCCTCCACCTCCAATATATCCGCAGAGATTCATAACCTGGTTTGGCATATTAACCCTTTGCACTCGGATGTCGAGTGTGACTCCACACGGTTAGCAAAAATTATAGAGATTAAAATCACTCTTTGAATGTATCCATAATTTGAAATATTAAAAATCCAAATAAATAAATTTGTATGAAAAGAAACTCCAGTTTTTTATTCTACTGCCGCGCTTTGTAAAATCTGGGGTATTTAAAAAATTAAATCCGGAGTAGAATAAAGAAATCGAGAAAAAAGCAAGCGAGTGCAAAGGGTTAAGGCACTGTGAAGCCTTGGAGTAAAGCGACTTGTTTACTTTCCTTAACCTTCCATTTCTTAAGTTATTTACTACAGAAAACTATCTTACATTTCTTTCACAAAACATGGTAGCATTTATGCAATGAGGGACTCAGTCTCTGGCGTCAGACTGAAAAGCAACTTGGACTTGATTCCTGGATCTGCTGCGTACTAGCTCTGTGACTTTGAGTTGTGTTTGCTGTCAATTTCCTCATCTGTAAAAACAGAATAATAATAGGACCTTCCTCATCAGATTCAAATGGGATGAAGCAGATTTAGCACAGTGCCTGGACATGGTGAGGCATCAAACACTATAACTGTTATTATTTTTAATAGCAGTAACTACTGATTGATAACCACGAGTAGTGTATTTCCCATGGAGATGCAACTCTATAGTCATGGTTCTAAATTTGAATCTGACACAATAATCAGAATGTACATAACATGACACTTTCCCTTTCTGGTCCCCATAATAGGAGTCAGTAATTACTCAAAGAATAGGGCACATCAGATGATGGATGTACTCACTTGGCCTTACCTTGAATCTGCCAGTTGGGTTACTGCCTCTCTATAAAGTCTACTTCCTAAGAGGGATCCCTGAACATCTCTCTTTTTTCATTATAGCAGCAACAACAAAGGTGGTCTCCTCGTCCACTTTTGGATTGTATTTGTCATGCCGCATGCCAAAGGCCACATCTTCTGTGAGGACTGCGTGGCGGCCATCTTGAAGGACTCCATCCAGACGAGCATCATAAACCGGACTTCAGTGGGGAGCTTGCAGGGTCTGGCTGTGGACATGGACTCTGTGGTACTAAATGGTGATTGTTGGGTGACTCTCCTCTAGCATTCCTTCCTGCAGCACGCCTGACACTTGCCATTACTGTAGTCAGCATTGTAATGAGGTATTCTCTTCCACAATCCCAGTAGCACAAGATGAGCTGCAGACAACGGAGCTATGTTAGTAAAGGAAATTGCTAAATGTTAAATACAGTGATTGAACCATAGATTTGGGAACAAAATATATATGAAGTTGAATTTATTAAAATGTACATTTATTCAGCTCATGCATCTTCAAACTAAGTCCCCAAGGAACAAAGTCCTAGAGAAGGAAGGATTTTGCTGAGGTCTTTTTTTTTTTTTTTTTTGAGACAGAGTCTCACTCTCTTGCCCGGGCTAGAGTGCTGTGGCATCAGCCTAGCTCACAGCAACCTCAAACTCCTGGGCTCAAGTGATCCTCCTGCCTCAGCCTCCTGAGTAGCTGGGACTACAGGCATGCACCACCATGCCCGGCTAATTTTTTCTATTTTTAGTAGACACTGGGTCTTGCTCTTGCTCAGACTGGTCTCGAACTCCTGAGCTGAAGCAATCCTCCTGCCTTGGCCTCCCAGAGTGCTAGGATTACAGGCATGAGGCACCATGCCTGGCCTCTTGCTTTCTCTTTTTATTTAAATTTTATATATCGAAATATATAAACATATTTTATAAGTATATATTACATATTACATAGAAATGATAGAAATTGTATATTATATATACACAGACTTGCACACTAGGCATATAGTGGGTGGCTGATAAATATTTTTTAAATGAATGAAAAAGGTCGCGGAAAATTTTGCACTATATGTATGCACTATTTCAAGTAGAGGACTAATTATTATCATAATTGTTTCATTGCTTTTTTAACTTTAAAATATGTTTAAAACTTGTACCTATGATTTCAAGAATACAAAAGTAAAAAAAATGGTGTAATGAAATTTTCATATACCAGTTCCTCAGCTTCAACAACTATCAGCAGACTGTCCTATGTGATCTTTAAATACCTAAACAACCTCCATCACCTTCACTGGATCATTTTAAAGCAAATCCTAGAGGTGTTTGGTTGTTTTTAAAGAAGAACTGAAAATAATTTTACTAAGTACAATGCTAACAAAATGAAATGATAGGATTAACAGTCTCTTTTTCTATGTGGTTTTTCAATGCAGCTGGACTTCGGTCGGATTACTCTTCAACCATAGGATCCGGTAAATTCTTCTATATGGTTCCCCACCCTCCCTACACACACATTAGTATCATTTTGGGCTATACTTTTCCTTTTCTAAGGACAGTATTTGTTAGTGCTCTTTGAGTTGCAAGTGACAGCAATACATTCAAACTGGCTTAAGTACAAAAGAAACTTGACTAGCTCATGTCACTGGGGCATCAATGGAGTATGCTGGCTTTAGGTGTGGTTGGGTCCAGGTTCTAAAATGAAATATCATCAGAACTCTTCATCTCTGCCTACTTATGTTGAGGCTTCCCTATCAAGTGTGGTCTTCCATTGTGGGGGCAAACATGGCTACCAGCAGATCCAAGATCATAATTTATCATTTTTCAACCATGGTGGAAACCACCCCTACATATTTCCTGACAGTTCTAGCAGAAGTCCTGGGGCTGACTCCCATTGTCTGGCTTGTCAGACAGCATGCTCATTCCTGAACCACCTTCTTTAACGCTAGGTTATGTGCCTACCTCTGAAACCAGGGGTGGGTTTAACCCCAACCAAACTATATAGACAGGGTAGGGATAGTTTCTCAAAGTCAAAATCCAGGGGTGTTAATCAGAAGAGAGTGAAGTGGACTCTCGGCCGGCAAAGACAGCAGATGTCCCCCTCAGGACCTCTTTTGCTCTTTGCTTTTCTATAAAGATTTCAAGAAAAATCATTCCTAAAAAATAAAAAAATTAAAAAAAGGAAAGAAAGAAAAGGGAAAAAAAGTGCTGTCTCCACAGACAAAGGCTGCTCTCAGTACATCTATGCGGATCATCTGTCCTTCCGCTACCCTCTGGAGATTTCTGCAACCTCAGGGAGGCTGATGTGTCACTTCAAGCTGGTGGCCATCGTGGGCTATCTCATTCGTCTCTCAATTGAGTCCATCCAAATTGAAGCCGACAACTGTGTCACCGACTCCCTGACCATTTACGACTCCCTCTTGCCAATCAGGAGCAGCATCCTGTACAGGTACTACGCAGGCACTCTTGTTGGTGGGTGAAAAGTTTTTTTTTTACAATGTCTTTGTTTTACAGTATCTGTGTTCCTCCTGGATTTTTTTTTTAAAAAAAACATTTTTGTGTACACTCATCAGGTCAAAAACTGACTCATGCGCTGTTAAGTATGCATTATACTTCAGTACCCTTGCCAGAGCCCATCGGACTCAGTGTTTGTTTTTCATTTGTAGAGAACAAGACTCTTAAAGTCAGTACAGCAAGAATTCCAGCTAATATGTCTGAAATATAATAGACATTCTGTTTAATTTTACATTTATTACAATCATGGCAAGTCTACCATTTCAATAGATTGTGAGAATTCTATGATGATTGCATAGCATTAGTAAAAAAACTAAAAATTTTTCTTACAAAGATAATACATGTTTCTTGTAGAAAATTATGTCAGTCAGAGAAAACAATATCAATTACTTCACAATCTCATTACCCAGAGCAAGTTTCTGTTACGTTTTAGCATCAATCCTTTCATTCATGTATATTTAATTACCCATACATATACTTATATATACCCAATTTTTTTATTTAATTGTAGACATCTGCTTAATATTTGATAACCTTCAAATGAGTAAGCTTTATTTAAAAATTACTATTTGTTACTAACTGTGCTGAAAGTGTACACAAATTATTTTATTATTTTTAACCATGTCTATGTATGTATATAACAATGCTTTATGTATGTATGTAGGTATTCATATTTTGGTGATGAATATGCATATTAAAAATCCAAACACTATATAAGGATATGTAGTGAAAAATAAGTTTGCCACTGACTCCCAGTCCTCAATCATTATGCTTCTTTCCATCCTTCCAGACATATTCAGTTATTATCTCATTTAATCCTCACCACAGTGCTATGAGGAATGTACTATTATTATTACTCCCATTTCATAGAAGGGAAACTGGCACTTACCAAGATTTAAGCCCAGAATCTTCCACCCAATTAAGTGATGGAGCTGAGGTTTTTTCTTTTTTTGTTTGTTTTGAGACAGGGTCTTGCTCTTGCACTAGGGCTAGAGTGCAGTGGCATCATCATAGCTACTGCAAATTCAAACTCCTGGGCTTAAGTGATCCTTCTGCCTCAGCCTCCCAAGTAGCTGTGACAATAGGCATGAATCACCACACTCAACTAATTTTTCTATTTTCTGTAGAGATGGGGTCTCACACTTGCTCAGGCTGGTCTCGAACTCCTGGGTCTCAAGTGATCCTCCAACCTCTGCCTCCCAAAATGCTGGAATTAAAGGCATGAGCCACTGCACCCAGCCAGAATTCAGTTTTGAATCTAGTTTTCCTTAGGGCAGAGCTCATAACCTTAGCCATTAAATACACTGCCTTTATATCTCATTTGTACTCAAGAAGGGTCCAGTGACAGCCGTCCAAGAGAATTCTTTGGTAGTAGTTACTGTACAAAAATTTCTATACTTTTTTCAGCTCTGATCCATCTACAGAGCCCTGTGGCCACCAGTTGATGAAGACCTGGTTGGCAGAGACTGATTCATAAGAACTGAGGGGATAGCCCAGGAAATGTGTGGAATTAGTGTTGAATGGAGGTCCATTGCTCAAATAACCTGTTATTCATGTACTTTTGTTCTCCGCTTTCAGAATTTGTGAACCCACAAGAACATTAATATCATTTGTTTCTACAAATAATCTCATGTTGGTAACATTTAAATGTCCTCGTGTATGGAAGCTATCAGGAATCCGGGCATATTTTGAGGTCATTCCAGAACAAAGTAAGTCTTCTCCAATTAAAAAAAAGCAACTTTAAAAAAAATTGCCAAGGAAACCCAAGCCTAAAATTCCGGAAGCCGGGGCGGTAAAACAAGTGGCCTAAGAAAAGAACCCAAAAAAAGAGCCAAGCAAAAAAAAAAAAAGAAGGTAAGTAATTTAAAAAAAGGAAATTAAAGAAGAAACGGTAAACTAAGAAGAAAGGGGTAAACAAGAAACCCAAAAGGCAAAAAAGGACAAGTTGAGAACTGTAAGGTATCATGGATATAACACATGTAGGAAGCAACTATCACCCCTAGGGCTGGAGCAACAAAGGAAAGAGGTCGGAATGATTACAGTTTAGGGCTTGGGGAAGGGGTCTGTGGAGTGAAACTTAGGCCTCTGAGGAGTTGCTGTTCAGCTGTTGCTCATGTCTCTGAGATCAGAACTATGTTTTTTGAGAACATCCTATAGAACTGTAGCCAAAATATATGACTTAAAAACAAATACAAAATTTGAGAACAAGCATTTTAGCTATATATCTGTTGGGTGCTATTTCTTTTTAAATAAAACAAAGTTCAAAAACTTTATAAGCTTCTTGATCCAGGAAATATATATTTGTAATTAAAATTTCCCCATAATCTCATAGCTGTGAATCATTGTGTGTTACTGGGTATCTTTTTCAGAGTGTGAAAACACAGTATTGGTCAAAGAAATCACTGGCTTTGAAGGGAAAATTTCCAGTCCATATTACCCGAGCTACTATCCTCCAAAATGCAAGTGTACCTGGAAATTTCAGGTAGCCTAGTTTTACCAGTATCTTAGAAAAGTATTACTGTAATAGTTTTAGTAGAATTTTATTTTTGAATTTCATTACTTTTATTTTTTAAATTGCAAAACGAATATTACTTAACTTTATAAAATTGAAACATTATCAAAATATATTATCTAGAACACAAAATTTTCCTGTAATTCCAACCCTCTGCCCACAAAGGAACTGCTCTTAGCAGTTTGGGACTTTTTTCTCTGATTGATTTTGTTTATTTGTATTAAAAAATGAAAAGACATTGTTAAATGATATTTTATTGTGATAGAGCATATTTATCAATTCTTAATCATCAGTATTATAATAGGAATAATAAAGAAATAATAAACTGGATTAGGCAGTACATTCAATCCTCTGTATCCACAGGTTTTATATCTGCAGATTCAACCAATCATAGATCAAAAATATTTTTTAAAAAACCACAGTAAAAGATAATACAACAATAAAAATAATACAAATAAAACTAATAAGTCCTAACAGCTATTTACATAGCACTTACATTGTTTTAGGTATTATAAGTAATCTATAGATGATTCAAAATATCTGAGAAGGTATGTGTAGGTTACATGCAAATACTATAATTTTATATAAGGGACGTGAGCATCCTCAGATTTTTGTATCCATGGAGTTCCTGGAACCAATCCCCTGTAGATACTGAGGGACGACTGTACATATTTTAGTTATGTAAGCAAACCAGATATGCAAATTTATATGGAATATATATACCTCTTCTTAGTTCTAGATTGGACATTTCTCCTTTTTGTTAAATCTAAGATTGTAAACTATTTTTCTTTCTTCAACTATAGTATCATATGACAATAGGGCCAAGTGTCACCATTGTTCATTTAGCATATACATATAAAATCATTATTGTGCGGCATAGCAATTAGACGTAAGAGGCAAGCAATATGTAGTGTGTACTTATTCAGTATGTTACTGAATGACTACTGTGGGCCGCGCACTATTCTAGACACTGAGGATACATGAAATTAAAGAAAACAAAAAACAAACCCCCTTTGCTCTTATGGAACTTACCCTCCAGTAGGGGAAAACAGGTGATAAACAAGGTAAATATAGGCAATATGTCACATGGTGATACAATGCTATGGAGAAAAATAAATCAAGGAAGCAAACTCTACAGCTTGAGTGGGAGGTGGGGGGTGTGAAGGGTAGCAAGTTAGACATTTATTACCTTGAACAGGATAGTCAGGGAAAGTGTCACCAACAAGGGGCATTTGGAAAGAAACCTGAGAGATGAGGAAACTAAACTTGTGGATATCAGGATAAGAATGTTGCAGGCAAAGGGAGCCTAAGGCAAGGAGCCCGCGGCAGGAGGGTGCTTGATGCATGTATGGTTATTTCTGCATAGTCCTAACAGTGAACTAGTTAAAATGATTTCATTACTCAAATCTGTACTTGGTGTCAATATTCTGATGGCATGTACCATTAAATTATTTTCTATCATGATCACATTTCCAAAATAAGTAAAAGATAAAAGTGGTGGACCCTTGCTTATTGCCAGATTCTCAAGGCCCAAGGCAGCAAAAACACAGGGCTTTGGATGATCCAAGAGTCGGAGGGTTGGGGAGGAGGAGAGGGAAGAGGAGATGAAAGGAGGGGTTGGGGGAAGAAAAGGAAAAGACATTAAATCTCTGTTCCTTCAACCTCTCCAAAAAGGAGATGTATCTCCGTGGGCTAGTATGATTAGTATGATAGCCAGAACAAGAAAGGTGCCATTCTTAAAACCTCTGCCAAATGTTTGAAATTCTTTTGAGATAAAATAAATGTTGATTCTGTAATAACTCATAGAGTTAAAATGAAAATCCTTAAAAGTTGTTGTGACTTTTACTTGGAGTATAAATAAGAATATCAGATTGCTTTTTGTTTTGCTAGGGGTTGAGGGTTAGAAATGCTGAAGAAAGAGATGTCTTTATAAGGATAAGGGCATCCCACGAGGGGCGTGAGGAATGGGGACGGGGAGACAGGAAATCCTGGGGACAAACTGATGGTGTGCACCGTTTCCCAGAGAGTAAGGTCTGTCCTCAGTGTGGAGGTTAAAATAAAGCTGTTCCTTTCTCAGAAGGCTTCGAACAACCACCTATATCAGTGTAAGAGTGTGTTTCTGTGAATGGAAATCAGTGCAAAAAAATATTAATTTTTTTCACCTGTAAAATAGCTTTGAATTTATTAAAAATAACCATGAGATGGATGACTCAGTAACAAAAATATGGACTCAAGTCATGATAACAGTTTTTACACAAAGGTTGGTTGCTATCCTCCTTAATCCTTCTTAGTGTCTGGTCCCATTTCCAAATTTACCAAAGTACAATCAACCCTATTGGCAAACTCACTTTCAGCTGAGTTTTAAGGTCTTGTTTGAGAAGGATTAACTCCTGCTCCAGCTTAAAGTCCATCTGATCCTTCTCCCAAGTTCTGTTACCTACTGAACAAATGCTCATTGAATGTCTGCTACATGTCAGGCTCCATATGGGGACACTTAGTAGCCAGATAAGCAAAGTCCTTATTCTCATGAAGCTTACAGACTACAAGGGAAGAAGGAATAAATATATAAAACCAAAAAAGAATGTTGAGTTTATAATATGTTGTCTATGTTTGATTAGCACTTTAGTGTTTGTTTGTTTGTTTTTTGAGACCGAGTCTCACTTTGTTGCCCTGGCTAGAGTGAGTGCCATGGCATCAGCCTAGCTCACAGCAACCTCAATCTCCTGGGCTCAAGCAATCCTTCTGCCTCAGCCTCCTGAGTAGCTGGGACTACAGGCATGTGCCACCATGCCCGACTAATTTTTTTTCTATATATTTTTAGTTGGTCAATTAATTTCTTTCTATTTTTAATAGAGCCGGGGTCTCGCTCAGGCTGGTTTTGAACTCCTGACCTCGAGCAATCCTCCTGCCTTGGCCTCCCAGAGTGCTACGATTACAGGCGTGAGCCACGCCGGGCCAGCACTTTAGTGTTTTGAGCACCATATTTTTATTTGCCCTTCAAAGCACATATCTGATGCAGAAGAAATATTCTTGCCACGTTTTATAGATAAGGGAACAGAGATGAGCAAAACATTTGCCAGAGGTCACTCAAATAGAAAGTGACCCAGAGAGGACCAGAAGGAATCATGCCTCTCCGTGCATAAATTCTTCCCCCTCCTCCTTTTCTGGGTTCTAAAGATGTTCATCTTCCCTGCATTTCATAACAATCACTTAGTTGAACATTTACCTGCCTCTTTTTTCCTTCTTTGTATCCCAATACATTTTGTCATAAAATCTTAGAAAAAGAAAATGGAGTAGTTCTTTGAATGGTCATAGTTGTCATCGAGCCAGCACCATACAATTTGAGTCCACCAGACATAAGCAGGGGTTCCTAGGGGCCATGCGGGTCACCTCCTCATATCACTTAAGAAACGGATGGAAATCCCAGAAGGGAGCCCCTCTTTCCCTGCTTCTGTGAAGGAAATATGATACATCTTTGCCACAGAAACTTCCAGGGTTATCTGAGGTGGGTTCTTGGGTTGTGTGTATAAAACTCCAGACATATTGTGGGTGACTAAAAGATAGGGTCTGTCCTGCATCCTGTTACCATCACTGACTAAAGAAATATTTCAATGTTACAGGTGCAGATGAGGATTATTCCTCCCTTTCCTTGGTTAAGGTTCCCAACACAAAGGTAGAGGGTGGGGAACAGAAACTGAGAATACAGAACATGTAAGGAAGTAGGATACTTATTTTTTTGTTCCTTTGTTGAAATAGCTTACAATGCTTTGTGAAACTGCAACTCATCACCCTATTTGTCAAGCAGGTTAATACAAGTAGCTGCCCTTGACCAATCTGTGTACAAATGTAGAATTGTGTGCAATTCTGTGTCAGTGGAATCAGTGTGCAAGGGGACTTATTTCCTTTCACTATAGAGAAATTCCGTGGATTGGACAGTGGTGGTATATATAAAACAATTTTACTTTGAAGCAGTGGAACATACTGAAAATGCCCAGGCAAGCTTCTTGGTAGAGCGTTGCATTGGAAGATGTTCTTACACTATAAAATTTACATTGGTTACTTAAGATACTGTCTCTCAGCTTTCATTTTTTTTAATGTGAAGAAATAGGCCAGGTGCAGTGCCTCATGCCTGTAATCCTAGCACTCTGTGAGGCGGAGGTGGGAGGATCGCTTGAGATCAGGAGTTCGAAACCAGCCTGAACAAGAGCAGGACCCCGTCTCTACTAAAAATAAAAATTAATTGGCCAACTAAAAATATATAGAAAAAAATTAGCAGAGCATAAATGCCTGTAGTCCCAGCTACTTGGGAGACTGAGGTAGAAGGATTGCTTGAACCCAGAAGTTTGAGGTTGCTGTGAGCTATGATCATGCCACTGCACTCTACTCAGGATGGCAGAATGGATTCTGTCTAAAAAACAAACAAACAAAAAGAATTAGAAAACTTGATGGGTAAACCACAATTCAACTCTCTTAATGTAAAAACCCTCTCTTAAATAATTCCTGGGTCAAAGTAAAGATCCAAAGGAAAACTTTGACATATCAGACATAATGTATGTGCATATTGCATAATGCAATAAAAAGGTCACTTGCATCGTGTGTGCGCGTGCGTGTTTGCGTGCGTACATTTGCTCACACACATAAGCAGCTCTTTGTTGTTGCTACAAAAGACACTATTTTTTTTTAAAAAAATAAGCAGCTCTTTGTTGCTTGACTGCTTCTGAAAAGACCCAGGGGTGACTCATAACAGCCTTCAGAATACCCAAGTTTAATATGAAGATGATGCTGATTTATTTTTCCTTTATCTAAAGAATATGAATGATGCTTTAAATAAACTGTGCCATTATTTACATCAAGAGAGGAAAATGCTTACACTCATCAACAAGCGGGTGTTTTCAAAGTTAAGTTCATCTAACAGGAGGAAACTGAAATCCAGAGATGTTGATGTGTAGCCTGTCACCCAGCTCTACCTGGGGCCCAACAGCTGCTACTGTGAGTCCCCAGCTGCCCACTTCCTTGTCTGTTAAGCTCTCCACCTCAGCTCACTTTGTTCAGGGGGACTGGTTCACCCCACTAACGACCACAGGGCATCAGGAGTAGAGCAGCCTTAAACCAAGCCATAGAGATGAGCACTGAGTGAGCGAGGACATTTTAGCTTGAAACATGTACTTTGATAGAAGCATTTTTTTTTTTTTGACTTAATGTTTGTTTTTCACAGACTCCCTTGTCAACTCTTGGCATAGCACTGAAATTCCATAACTATTCAATAACTAAGAAGAGTGTGAAAGGCTGTGAGCATGGATGGTGGGAAATTAACGAGCACATGTAAGTGATTTCCATATGTGAGGAATCTGACCAAAGGTTCACAGCTGTGGTTCCTTTTCCTCAAAGAGTTTGCACTTTATCATTTACAGATAGGGAAACTGAGGGATATAGGAGTTAAGCGATTTGCTCAAAGCCACTCTGCTCTTGAGAGATTGAGACAGGATTCAACCCCGTGTCTTAGGGCTTTTGCCCCCTACCACTATGCTGCTGGGTCACGGGTGTGTATATTCTACATTTCACAAATGTATTTGACAGATAAAGTTTTCAAATCTTGAGCCATGGGGGAAATAATAAATTGGGGTTCTGATGGTACAAAAAGTAGAGACCACTAGCCAATTCTGTGGGGTAAGAGACACCTAATTGGCCAGGCTTAATCCTGATGCTGGGAAATGGGTCGAAGCTGATCTGATCAGAAAGAAACCTGAGAAATGTGGATGTGTGGGCTTCCTGAACCAACCTAGGTCCTCACTCTTACTCTTAATTTTTACTTTAATTATTGTTTATTTGTATCTAAAGCTATACTAGGTATTCAGTAGATATTGAATAGGTATTCAAAAATACAGGATGCTTTTTCTTGAAGCAGATGAATAGCTTCTCAGTTCACTTTCATAGCAAAATCCGGTAAGGTTAAAGGATTTACCTGCTACTTCTTTGCTCACTGCTATTCTCTGCATGTAATCTTCCCTTTCTAAGTGCTTTTCTTTTTTTTTTTTTTTTGAGACAGAGTCTCACTTTGTTGTCCAGGCTAGAGTGAGTGCCGTGGCGTCAGCCTAGCTCACAGCAACCTCAAACTCCTGGGCTCGAGCGATCCTTCTGCCTCAGCCTCCCGAGTAGCTGGGACTACAGGCATGAGCCACCATGCCCGGCTAATTTTTTATATATATATCAGTTGGCCAATTAATTTCTTTCTATTTATAGTAGAGACGGGGTCTCGCTCTTGCTCAGGCTGGTTTTGAACTCCTGACCTTGAGCAATCCGCCCGCCTTGGCCTCCCAAGAGCTAGGATTACAGGTGTGAGCCACCGCGCCCCGGCCTCTAAGTGCTTTTCTTAAACAACCTTCTTTCAGTTCTTTTGGAAATATTACTTGAAAAATAATAATTGGTGCTGTCTTCATTGGAATAGATAGGCTCAATCAGATTTAAAGGCATTCTTGGATCCATTATTAAAATGTAGACTGTACTACTTTGGGGAGTATAATTGAATAGAGCATCTAATTTTGTAGGAATCAGAAGACTTGAGTTCACATTCCAGCCTTGTCATTTAGTAGTTATATTAAGTAGGACAAATTATTTAATCTCATTGATTTCAGTCTGTGAATGAGGTAATGACTCCTACTTAATATGGTGTTTATTAAGCGTTTGATAAAATACACAGCAAAAAAAATTAGCTGTTATTAATGTGACTAATGGACTGCTTTCAAAATGACATGGGATGGATAAATATTATAGAATGTGCCCTAAGGTTTTCAAAATACTGTAGTTTGGTATTTAATTAAAATACAGAATCAGAAAACCTATCTTTGTAAAACTTTTGTCAAGTTGTAAGCCTGTGGCAGAGCTGTACTTTGAAAATGAGGTCCTGTTTTATTTCCACATCACAACAAGCCAGGATGTGTTTGTTGCTGCCACAGTAGATACAAGTAGGGTCTCCTCCTAAGCAATACCGGGAAAGCTCTCTGACCCAAATACTTTCCCTTCAGATAGTCTTGTGGGCTGGCTGAAATCCTATCAAGTTCTTTTATGCTGCTTGTACCCTCAGAGTTTAAAATGCCAATCCTTCCTATAATCAGGCCTTTTCATCTCAAAAAGAAAGGTTCTAATAGAGCTAATCGGATACCTTGCTGAGAAGTTAGCCTGAGGGAATTGGGGCTGCAGTGGGGAAGGAGGAAAAAGTACTGCGGACTACAGGAACACTAATGGTCTCTCATAGAGCCTGGGGAAGAGGTGTGCGTGCTCAGGGCTTCGGTGTGTCATCCCTGAGGAAACAGACAGCCTTCCCACAAAGCTTTCACAGAGCAAAGCTTTGGAAGGGGGGCATTTGGTAAGCTAGAAAGTGCTAGAGTTTAGTATCAGGCCAACTGGTTCTGCTTACCTGCTGTTTGAAATTTACCAAATTACTTCTCTTCTTTATGACTCCGTTTCCTTACTTGTGATATGTCTGTACATAGAAACTGCTTCTCTGAGTTTCTCCAATATTTCACTTTTAAACTTTCACTCCACAAGCCACGTCATGCCCTGTTGCATACTCTACCCCTTTAAACTCCACCCTGAGCATGGATGCACAGATCTCTGTCCTCTTGATTCCCTCCTAACATACAAGAAAACCCTACGAAATGTTAATGGTAAACACAAAGAAAATCACTATGCTACAGAGATAACATAACCATCTTGTTTTCAGTGTACAGGATTCTGATCTCAGGATAACTTACTAGAGTAGACTCTGGCTGCAGAAATTAGGCTTGGCTCCCAGGGGCCTCTCGGACCCTGGCTCCTGCTCTGCCAGGCAGCCACCTGCAGCTGCTGTCTCTTCTTTGTATCCCAGCAACTGGCCTATCAGCTCATCAGTTCCTGAACTTCAGCCAATTGTGAAAGATTCTTCCTGAATAATAAGCATATTTTCCTTCTTCAAGCTTAAAATCATAGATTCTTTGTGTTCCTGAATGCTAGCATCTGATCCATGGAACATGAGGGTTCCCAGGTGCTTTGGGAGCCTAGAGTGCTTGACATTCACAGGTTCCAGGGGGGAACGTCACCCCCCCCACCCCAAATGTTGCATCTGCTCTGTGTCTCCCATTGAGACCTTGCAGGTTTGGGTTGGGTGCAGTGGCTCACATCTATAGTCCCAGAGCTTTGGGAGGCCAAGATGGGAGAGTTGCTTGAGGCCAGGAGTTCGACACCAGCCAGGGCAACAGAGTGAGACTCTGTCTCTAGAATAAAATTAGAAAAAAATCCCTGCAGATTTCACTGTGGTAAAAGCCTTAGCCACACAGGGCAGTGGACTAACTTATCATTGGACTGCAATATAATAATTTTCCATGCTCTGCTAACCACAGTGCTAATGCAGTAAGAGTTATTAACAGGAGGGATATTTTCTCAAAAGGAGAACCTGGGAACCTGGAGGACACTAAGTAATGAGAAGTAAAACAATTGAGGTAGGAAAATATTGCAGATAGATGTTAGTTCTTTGAAATTATGCCAAGGACAAGTCCTGAAGCACACATCAGATTTCAGTGTAGATTGAAATAATGTTGTCTTTTGCTGTAGGTGTTGCTGGAATTCTCTGCATACCTGAGCTCATGGATTCCATTGGGGAGAGAGGCTTTTAAACAAATGCATACAATTCTTCTTACACAGTTTATTTATTTATTCATTTATTTATTGAGACGAGGTCTCACTCTGTTCCCGAGGCTGGAATGCAGCAGCGTGATCATAGCTCACTGTAACCTCAAGCTCCTAGGCTCAAGTGATCCTTCACACCTCAGCCTCCCAAGTAGCTGTGACTGCAGGCATGCACCTCCATGCCCAGCTCATGTTCTTTATTTCTTGTAGGGATGGGGTTTAGCTACATTGTCCAGGCGGGGTTATGCAGTTTTTCACCCTGAGAAAGGAAAAGAGGACTGGACAATGAGATACATGTTTCTTCTGACCCTAAGTGTTGGTGAAGAAAACAACAGGTTGATGGTACTGTCATTGTTCTATTTAGCAGAGGAGAAAATTGAGGGGGCAGAAGTTAATCATAGTCCCAGAGAATAGAATGAGTAACTACCATTAACTCTACATGAGCGTCTCTGCTTATGACATCCAAAAGACCAAAGTATTAGTGAATTCACCGTCGGCAGGAATGCGGTCGGCTGAACCCCAAGCTATGTGTCCTCCTGACTCCTGTCTCCTCAGGTACTGTGGCTCCTACATGGATCACCAGACGATTTTCCGAGTGCCCAGCCCTCTGGTTCACGTTCAGCTGCAGTGCAGTTCCAGGCTTTCCGACAAGCCGCTTGTGGTGGAATACGGCAGTTACAACATCAGTCAACGTGAGCCTGCCATCAGCTCCTTAGAGAGACCTTAGTAAATAGCCAAAGGGAGGCTAATGCTTTGTAACTCTAAACTTTGAGAATTTAACAAGTGAACACTACTTTATTTTTTAATATTTCTTTTTACATATTTATTTTTTACAATACATAAGTACATATGTAATAAAAATAAAGATAATAAATACTAAATAAAAGTATATAGTTATTGCTACTGTATTTTAAATTATAAAAGAAATAACTCTTTGATATTACTGATTAATAGTTGAAAAATAATTTCTTACATCATTCCTAAAATATAAGACAAGCCCCATTATTTGGTTTGCTGTTGTTCCTGCCAGCCATAATTCTCTGTATGACATGTATGCACATGTAGAGTGGGTCTGAGGCCAACAGTCATGACCACTTTGGCCTGTGCTGCACAGGGAGAGCTGGTTGGTGGAGAGAGTTCAAATGTCAACCCTCAGAATGGTGAACTTGCTCACACTGAAAACTGTGGAAGAAAGGCCAGGAAGCGGACAGTGAGAATGGCAATGTTTGAGGGAAGTTATTAGCTGGAGAGAGTAGATCATGACCTGCTCAGGAAATCCTCCACCCGTTTTAAAATAGCAAAAGTGGAGGTTATCCACTGAGGGTCTCAGGAGGGCATGACTTGAGCTCCATCTTTGCCAATCCCCAAAATATCTTCTTCTGGATTCAGAATATTACACCCTGAATATCAGAATATTCGTTTCCAGAGTCACAGGTAAATCAGTAAGCTGTATTATTTTTAATTGTTTTTTAATGACTATTTTCAAGTGGCTCATCTATCCACTGTGTGAGAGTTTGACTTGATCATGCATTCTCCTTTTTTTTTTTAAACACAAAGAGAGGAAGGATTTATTATTTCTCTAATATTTAACAACAAACTCAGGATTAACGATGCAAGATCAGGCAGGGAAGGAATTACTGTTGAGCAGCCTGGTTGAAGTGGAAAGAATGATGGACAGGGAGGTAGGAGGCAGGAGTCTGGAGTCATGAAGCCAGTCACTAACCTCTTTAAGTCCAATGTGATATGATCAGTGGTGACTAATATATTTTGGAACAAAGACCACTTGAAAATGTAATTAAAGATATACAGAATAATGTATCTGATCACAGGGATTCAGAGACAACAGAAGTCCATTTATAATTCCCTAGGGGACTCTAAAGACCCCACATTAAGCATGCTGGACCCTTGAAATCTTCCAACTTTCACATTTTTTTTTTTTTTTTTGAGACAGAGTCTTACTCTCGTGCCCAGGCTAGAGTAAGTGCCGTGGCATCAACCTAGCTCACAGCAACCTCAAACTCCTGGGCTCAAGCAATCCTGCTGCCTCAGCCTCCTAAGTAGCTGGGATTACAAGCATGTGCCACCATGCCTGGCTAATTTTTTCTATATATATTAGTTGGTCAATTAATTTCTTTCTATTTATAGTAGAGACGGAGTCTCACTCTTGCTCAGGCTAGTTTCGAACTCCTGACCTCGAGCAATCTGCCTGCCTCGGCCTCCCAGAGTGCTAGGATTGCAGCCATGAGCCACCACACCTGGCCTACATTTTTCAAGTATACTATAAGGCCATTGAGCCGAGTAAAGGCCATGGAGTTAGTAATAAGTTTGCTTGTGCATGTATATAATGCTTGTGCCTGGATATAATGTTCGCTCAGAGCTTCTGGTGGATTGCTTTCTTCTTTGCTCTTCTAATTTCTGTATTTTTGTCTTGCAATTCCAACAGCCTTGATGTGATGTTATAATTACCACCGCTACCCTTTCAACTCTCTACCACTGAACGCTTCCTATTTCTTTGCTAGTGTGGTCTGGTGATTTTCAGGGTCCCACCCAAGGTTTTCTATTTTGTATTGCCTGTAGCCTGCCCTGTTGGATCTTTCAGATGCTCCTCCGGTTTGTGTGTCCCTCAGGCCCAGCGCTGTGACGGTGTAAACGACTGCTTTGATGAAAGTGACGAACTTTTCTGTGGTGGGTATTCAAGCTTTTCATGTGACTTTCTTATGGACAGGCAACTTCACAGGGCTGTTGCTGCTGCTGTCTATCCTTGGTCTTTGTGGCTGTTATCTATCCCAACTACCTCCAGAACTCAGTGGCTTTCAACAGTTATTCTCGATCATGCGCCCATGTGTTGTCTGGGATATGACTGACCTAGGCTGAGCTCATATGGGTGGCCCTGCTTCAAGCACTGGGTCCTCTTGGGATTGTTTCTTCCCAGGTCAGGATCAGGTGTACTCTTTATGGCTCTTTCGCTTATTGAGCCAATGGGCTAGTCATGGCACTGGTGGAAGCAAAGGAGGGGTGAGCACAAACGGGGTTCCTCTTAAGGCCCGGGCTTGGAACTGGCACACCGTAGTGTATCATATTCCCCTGGTCAAAGCAAGCTGCACAGCAAAGTCAAGGCATGGGAAAGTTTACTCTGCACACCTTGGGGCCATGGCAAGGGTGGGGTGCATGATGCTACCACAGGGAGTGAAGATCAGTGGCTAATAACTTATTCCACCACAATCTTAAATACAACAATCCTCTTTGAAAGCAAATATATCCATCCAGAGAGAAGCTCAGAAATAAACTCTTTCAGCATGCTCATTTATGGAGTCCCACTGTTGTTTGTAAATAAAAGAGAAAGTTTTGTTGCTTTTAAAAAAACCTGTATAGTTTGCATTGACTTCAGATTGGCAATGACAAAAGTGTGAGGTACTGGATATTCTTATTTTGAGTGGAGAATCTCAATCTTGGTTTTTCTTAACTATTTGAACCACCTTCCTACATCTATCTCCAGTTTCAGGGAGCCATATAGGAAGGACAGCTCACTGGACAATGTGACACCACTGGCAATACCTTCTCCTGAAGGTCCAGAGTGTTTAATTCAAACACAGTTATGATGATGATGCCATTTACTCGTTTCCATATCCTTGGGGAAATATGATAGTAAATATACTATAATAGCTAACATACTACTTGTGAAAAATTATACTAATGAAACAATAACCTGTGACTCTATACCTTCTTTTCTTATTGACTAAACAAAACAAACAAAAAATCCTCTTAACTTAAGGTTCACTGACCATTTAAATGTATAGAGTCTTCTATTTCTAAAGAAAATAAATACTGGCCATTATCTAGTAACTAAAGTTTTTTTTACATTATTATTCTCTGCTCTGATGCTCCAAATAAAAATAATTAGTATTATTTTATAATAACTATTTTTTGGTAATCATTATTTCTCATTGTGCCATTTTTTTGAGCTATTCTCTAGGAGAATAGCTTAGGAGACTTAAGGAACTATTTCAGGGCAGCAATGTCCTCCCTTCTGCTCCTCACAAGAGATACCTCTGAAAAAAATAGGAGTAGATAACAAAACTAATAACTTTTCAAAAAACCGAAATGTCTAAAATGTCTAAGGAATCATACCTTCTAAAATGCCAATATACTATACCTGTTATTAATGTAAAGGCAATTCATGAAAATATTCCATGAATTCCCTAAATTAGCAAATTTGCTAATTTAGGGAATGGATCTCTCAGAATAAAATAATTTTAAAGAGTTTTCTTTACACACAGACCACAAGTCTGTTGTCCTCTAATATCTCACATTCATTTACATATCTCACATTAATTCATTCAACAAACCTTTAGTGAGCACCTACTATTTGGTCAGGGGCTTGAGATAAAGAGACAAATAAGACAAAAGCCTCAGTCTCAGGATACTCCTACTTTGTTTAGGAAGGTAGACAAGTTGAATTTAGGTAACAGCTTATTATTTTTATTTTCCTTAACTTACTCATGATACACTTAATTGTAATTAAATAAATAAGCCACCAGAGTTCAACAGTTTTATACAAAAGCAAAAATCAGATCTGATAAACTTAAGTGCTAGGAACTTCCTCCAAAGTTTAAACATCTGGTTTTCCTCATAGAAGTGCCAGTCTTAAGGAAAATATGCCTTTTACTCTATTTAAGTCATCTGAATGATTTGCAGCTATTGAAGGGTTCTCCTGGTCATCAGAGAACCCAGCTGATGTCTCAGGCTCATGAGCTTTCTTTTCTCTTTCTAGTGAGCCTGAAGCCTGCCTGCAATGCCAGCTCCTTCAGGCAGCACGGCCCTCTGGTCTGCGATGGCGTCAGGGACTGTGAGAATGGCCGGGACGAGCAGAACTGCACTCAAAGTAGGAAGGGTCCTATACACTCTGCTGTTCTTCCTATAAAACTCATCTAAATCACAATCAAAGTACTTCTACTGGGTTAGGACAATCAACTTGTCCCAGTTTTCCTGGAACTTTCCAAGCTTTAGCACTAAAAATCCCTCATTTGGGGAGCCCTTTTAGTTCCAGACAAACTGAGACAGTCAGTCACTCCAAATGGGGTGGAATGTGTGTGTGTGTATGTGTTCATATGTGAATACTGGCAGGTTTTCATTGCTTACTTGCTTTTAATGCTGCTTGAGATTGTAAGATACTGAGGACTTGATACAGACAAACTTGCCAGATACTGTGATGGGACACGTTCTATTCTTGCCTTGCAGAAACACAAACCTCCTATTGGCTGTGAAACAACTGTGCTATAATTCACAAATCTGTCCATTTTCCTCCTTAATAATATAAAAGGACTGAGTGTGGCTGTGATTTTTGCTCAAAAACTTTCTTGGAGAATAAGACAGAGTAATAGGCAAAGAGGCCACAACTTAAAGCCACTGACGTGGCCAATTCCTTTATATGTCGCCTACAGTGGAAGAAAGGAGAGGCGGTTGATCCTCAACAGATGTGCCTCCCTACCTGCCTTTGAATGGCTCTGCTTAGGTGAAGGAGCAGGTCGCTGTGGGTTGTTTCGTTTCTCTCTGCCATTTTTCCCAGAGCAGCAAAGCCAATCCTATGGCTAAACCATCCTTTGCAGTGAGTGTTCATTGTCATTCACTCAGCTCTATTTTTGGTTAGGAAAAGCTGTTTCTTCTTTTGTTCATTTTTAGGTATTCCATGCAACAACAGAACTTTTAAGTGTGGTAATGACATTTGCTTTAGGAAACAAAATGCAAAATGTGATGGAACAGTGGATTGTCCGGATGGAAGTGACGAAGAAGGCTGCAGTGAGTAGAAATTCATTCCTTCTGATTCTAGTATTCTATTTACTTGTTTTTGTTTGTTTGTTTTGTTTTGTTTTTTTTTTTATCATTTTCATTCCCTTATTGTGTAATTCCCCTGGCAGAGGTTGCCACAGGCCCAAGGAAGAATAGTAAATATTGGTGAATGAGTCTGAAATTGTTTCTCAGAACTAAAAACTCTTCAGTGGATTCTGTCTTCTTGATAGCAGCATTAATGCACTAGATTTTTATACTGAGAGCATTCACTTTGCAGTAAATCTAATCAAGGGAGAAGATCTTAAAAACCCATGAGAAAATAGTTACTGGAACACAGTGTATGACTTTGTTAGTTATGCCTTAGGTTATAAACAATATCAAGTGCTGATTTTTTCTTTAGCTAAGACCCAATAATTAATCTGGCATATGTTCTTATTAGTCACAAGGCCTCTAATTGGCCATGCGGCTACATGTTAATTATATCTTTTTACCAATACTATTTACACTGGAAAATAATTGCTCTGATAACTAGTTTTTTCTTAGTAGGTTTTCATTTGCCTTGGACTTACAATTTATCTCCCAAATGCTTTCTCTCACATCAGCACAACTTGAAAGACAGTCTCACTTTTGTTATATTTGGAACATAGAGTTTCCTCTACCTAGCAACCTTACTCCACAGGCTGCTGTTTGTATCAGTCTAGCTCTTACTGTAAGTCCCCTCCTTCCCTCACATGCATTATTGTGTAGACTCTGTGTCAGGGCATGTTTCAGGAAGGAGGGGCTGTTTTCTTGGTACTGGTTTTAGACAGACCCACATATTCTCTCTCCTCCAGATAAGCAAGAAATTTCAATTTGCTTACCCAGTGAGTCTGTTCCCAGCCAGCACTAAACCTGACTTAATTTCCAGTTTTTCTTCCAAGTCTACCCTCAAATCACATATGCACTTTCCTCTACCAAAGGCTGCAGCAGGAGTTCCTCCACCCTTCACCGCATCATCGGGGGCACAGACACCCTGGAGGGGGCTTGGCCCTGGCAAGTCAGCCTCCACTTTGTTGGATCTGCCTATTGCGGAGCCTCAGTCATCTCCAGGGAGTGGCTTCTCTCTGCGGCCCACTGTTTCCATGGAAACAGGTAGGACATCACAATCCTCATTCTCAAGAGGCACTCTCTGACCACAGTCCATACAGCTGCCCTCAAATTGTGGGAAGAAGCTCCCTGCTGGAGACGTTCAATCAATTCAGTTGATTTTTTTTTCTTTTTTCTGGGGGGGGGCTATCAATTGTGTGCCAAACATTTTTTTTTTTTTGGTATTATTGATATAAAGAAAAAATAAAACAAAGGAAATGTCAAGAATGAATAGGCTTTTACTAAGGCTGAGAAAATAATATAGAGCTTTCAAGTCAGAGGGAGCAAACCTCTGAGAATGTGTGCAGAATGCAGAGAACAACAGGCATGGAAAATGGCTGGAGTCTGGGGAGCTCTTTCCAAATTAGGAGGGGAGTCCTGGAAGGATCCATTAGAACTGGCTTTGGAAGGGCTCTTTCTGTCTTTACCAATAGGATTATTATGGGACAAATGCTCTTCCAGCTAAGGGTGAAAGGAAAGCTTAGAAAATAGCCTCACTTAAAATTTAAACTTATTTGGAATCTACTGAATCTTAGATTTTAAAAAAATGTTATTCATTTCTCCTTCTGAATTTTTTTAAGTAGAGTATTTCAGTGAAGTTATACAATTTTAGTTTTTGTTTCTTGTGGAAACCATAGGATTTATGTTAATTACTAAAATAGCTTCACATCTGTTTGATCATTATTGTTTTATGCTGTGAAACTGCTCCAAATAATGTGTAAGCCTTAACACTCTTTTGGGTGTCCAGTGCCACTCATGAGATCTCAGTTAAGACCACACTCTTTGGGCTTCCACATTCTCTTCACCCACACTGCTACGCTGGTGGAAATGGAAGCCTCACATGGAGACTATAAGCCCCTCTGTGACTTGTGCAAGATTAGGATTCTGGAAGGACTAAATGCTGGAAAAACTCTTACAGACATTGGCATAGGCAAAGAATTTATGAAGAAGACCCCAAAGGCAATCACAGCAACAACGAAAATAAATAAATGGGATCTGATCAAATCAAAAAGCTTCTGCATAGCCAAAAAAACTATCACGAGAACAAACAGACAACCTACAGAATGGGAGCAAATATTCCCATGTTACACATCCGATAAAGGGCTGATAACTAGAATCTATATAGAACTCAGTCAGGAAAAATCAGCAAGAAAAAAATCAAACAACCCTATCAAAAAGTGGGCAAAGGACATGAACAGAAACTTTTCAAAAGAAGACAGATAAATGGCTAAGCAACATATGGAAAAATGCTCAACATCTCTAATCATCAGGGAAATGCAAATCAAAACCACAATGAGATATCACTTATCTCCAGTGAGAATGGCCTTTATCAAAAAGTTCCCAAACAATAAATATTGGTGTGGATGTGGAGAGATAAGAAGGAACACTCATACACTGCTTGTAGGACTGCAGACTAGTTTAACCTCTGTGGAAATTAATATAGAGATACCTTAAAGTGATACATGGATCTAGCATTTGATCCAGCAATCCCATTACTGGGCATCTACCCAAAAGAACAGAAGACATTCTATAAAACAGACATCTGCACTTGAATGTTTATAGCAGCACAATTCACAATTGCAAAGATGTGGAAACAACCCAAGTGCACATCAATACATGAGTGGATTAATAAAATGTGGTACATGTAGACCATGGAGTTCTCCTCAGCCACAAAAAACAATGGTGATACAGCACCTCTTGTATTATCCTGATAGAGCTGGAACCCATTCTACTAAGTGAAGTATCCCAAGAATGAAAAATAAGCATCACATGTACTCACCATCAAATTGGTATTAACTGATCAATACTTATGTGAACATATAGTAGCAACATTCATTCAGGTGTGGGGCAGGTGGGAGGGGGGACGAGGGGTTGAGTGTGTACACACATAATGGGCGTGGCGTGCACTGTGTAGGGGATGGACACGCTTGAAGCTCTGACTCTGGTGGGGCAAGAGGAATGTACTTAACCTAAACATTTGTACCCCCATACTATGCTGAAATAAAAAAGAAAAAAAAAAAAGAAGGATTCTGGAAAGACTGACAGAGGAGGGGCTGTTGGTGCCCTGTGAATGGTGACACTTGAGCAGTTAGAACAGTGATCTTTAAAGCTTCCAGTAGTTTGCAAGAAGTAATTTCATTGAATTCCTGCTTATAACACTTTGATTTCTAATCTATCTTGGTATTCAAGTAATTTGGATTTGCTAGTAGGGCCCCAGACTCCCACCTTTGGCCTGTCTGTCTCCATCAAATGCCATTTTCAGCATGAATAGGAAGAATGTAACTAATTCTAGTTACCAACATTCTCGACCTGGGTGCGGTTCATGAAATACCAGTGGCAAGAAAATTTTCAAGCATTTCCTTAGGGTGTTGTTGAGGGAAATTTCTGGAACATAGCTGTGGCTCACCACCATCACCACAGCTTATTTCATCTCTGGTTTTACTAAGGAGACAAGGGAAGCTCAGAGTTGTGCATCTTGCCACCTCCCTGGACAGAGCCAGTGGCTGTGACAAGACACTGGAAGCAAGGCGGGCTTTCCTTTCTCAGCCCTCATCTCTCTCTAGAGTGCTTGTTTCCAAAGCACATATGGTTCTTCAAGCTACCAACTTTGTGCTTCATTCCTTTTCTACCAGGCTGTCAGACCCCACACCGTGGACTGCCCACCTCGGGATGTATGCGCAGGGAAATGCCAAGTTTGTCTCCCCGGTGAGAAGAATTGTGGTCCACGAGTACTATAACAGTCAGACCTTTGACTATGACATTGCTTTGCTGCAGCTCAGTATCGCCTGGCCTGAGGCCCTGAAGCAGCTCATTCAGCCAATATGCATTCCTCCTGCCAGCCAGAAAGTGCGCAGCGGGGAGAAGTGCTGGGTCACTGGCTGGGGGCGAAGGCACGAAGCAGGTGTGTGTGTGAATGAATGGTCATGCCCTTACCTGCAGAGGAGGATAACTTGTGTTGATATAGGGCTTTGGGGTCCACAGAGAGGGTTTGTGTAGACCATCTCTTCAAGCCTCCTGAAAACTCTGAAAGGTTGGATTGGAGGAGGGTTTTGTTGTCCCTGTTTTGTGATGCTCTCTACCTGCTCTAAAAGAAACAGGGCCCACCTTATAAAGGGGGAAAGGAGGATGTATGAGGCAGACAGGATCAACTAGATAGTATGGGCCCTTTTCAAACTCTGATAGGTTTGCTAGGTTTGCCCCCTACAGAGGAACAATTCTGCCTTATTTATCTATTTATTTTGAGACAGCATCTCACTGTGTTGCCCGGGCTAGAGTGCCATGGCGTCAGCCTAGCTCACAGCAACCTCAAACTCTTGGGCTCAAGCAATCCTTCTGCCTCAGCCTCCTGAGTAGCTGGGACTATAGGCATGCACCACCATGCGTGGCTAATTTTTTCTATGTATACTTTTAGTTGTCCAGATAATTTCTATCTGGTTTTTTTTTGTTTGTTTGTTTTGTTTTGTTTTTAGTAGAGACGGTGTCTCGCTCTTGCTCAGGCTGATTTCCAACTCCTGAGCTCAAACCATCCTCCTGTCTCGGCCTTCCAGAGTGCTAGGATTACAGGCATGAGCCACCATGCCTGGCCCAAAAATTCTGCCTTATTTTATGTTTCCTTTTATCTAAAGTGATTCATTTTTATGACAGCAAGGACACACACATGCACATCCCACTGTGCCAGCTCATAGACAACTGTCTGAAGGAAGATTGCATGGGTCTGTCCTGCACCAGGGCAACCAGCCAAGGGATAAGAGCAGGAGCTGAACTCCAGGCTGCCCTTAGCTCCCCAGACTACAAATTCAGGCCTGGGGGTTATACGAGCCTAGAACTGGTCCACCTAGAAGTTATGCCTTTTTGCAATTCCTCCACCCAGAGGGGACATCTTTTGCAATATGCACAAAGGTCGGGGTGTGTAGGTAAATTTGAGGGAAGCCCCTACATCTGCCCTGCGGAGGTTTTCCATGGTCTAGGATTCCTGGATGAGTCTGAATATACAGTGAGGGGACAAATCCAAAGCTCGTGAATGTCTCCCCACAAGTTAGTGTTAATACTTTCCCTTGGTCTTCCAGTCACGTTAGATTCCTTTGCAGTCCTTTCCAGCTTAGGACAGATTCAATGTCTGTAATTCATGCACCTTATCCTGCGGCCCCTCTTTGCCATTCTCTAAAGATTGACTGTGGGCAGCTTCTCAAATGCTCGCTGCTCTCATTTAGTTGCTGAAGTAATAATACTCACCACTAGTTTGGGTCCACTGAGGTCTCAAGCTAACTGTTAGAACACTTATAGCCTTAATAGGTTGCTGTGCTCAGTGCCTTAATTAAATTACCATATATCACAAGAGGAAAGTGTCTACCCAGCCAACTTATCAGAGAAGTTTTCTTTATAAGCATGAGTGTGTATGTGTGTTTATTTTTCTGAATCATCTTAGCCAGATGGGTTAGAAAGGAAGTGAAAGGGCAATATCCAAACTGCTAAGTTTTTATGGTTTCTCAGAGACTCCCATATATCAGTTATGCTGCTCCATTTAAGGAGCCTTCCTAAATGGTAAATATTGGTAATAACTGTTGCTGATTCACCATCCTAGAGAAAGCAAGAAGGACATGGTGAGGAGTGTGGCAGAGAGGCTTGAGTGATTGAGTCAGACCTTGGATTTGAATTCTGCTGTTACTTGCTAGCTGTGTGTGCCACTGGGCAAGGAGTTTAAGCTTCCATTTTGTCACCAGCAAAATGGAGAAAATAGTAGAATTACCTCAAAGAATTGCTATGCGGATAAAAAGAGATAATGTGAGTTAATTGTTCAAATGAAGCCCTGAATAAATATAGTCATTTCTGTTACCATGACTTCTGATATGTTTCCAGATAATAAAGGCTCCCCTGTCCTGCAGCAAGCAGAGGTAGAGCTTATTGACCAAACCCTCTGTGTTTCCACCTATGGGATCATCACTTCGAGGATGCTCTGTGCAGGTGTAATGTCAGGCAAGAGAGATGCCTGCAAAGTAAGTCATCATGCGTGTTCCTTGCCTAACATGTTGTGCTTTCCATAAATGCTTTGCCATTTAATTTACATAACACTGAGAAATAAATAGGGCAGGTATTCCCCTTCACTTATCTGAGTTGCCCAGATATTAATTATAATCCAATTGCCTCAGATCAGGGAGAGGTGTTGAAAGAACAGGTTCTACAGTACTGAGTTTTCTAGTCCTGATGCATTTTCCTCCAACATTTAGAGCATTCATCACTCTGCCATGATTTTCTTATAACTGAAAACTAGAAAGGAAAGCAATACAAAGACACACACATACATGCTGTGTTTCAGGATTGCTACATATTTCCTTAGCAGCAGCCATTTAACTCCTGAAATTACAAGGGTTTTATTAACATTTACTCACTCTTTGAAGCACAGGTTGAGGGAAGAGGAGCGGGAGAGGTGACAGAGAGTATGCAGCCCTCCCGATAGGCCCCCTGACAGAGGATGTTTCCCTAAGCCTGAAAGTCTAATTGATGGAGATCAGCAATACATAAACAGATGGTTTATAGGATGAGGAGGATGAAGGAGCTGTTGTCACATCTCTCCACGATGTGGCCACGATGCCACAAAAACTCATTTTATTATAATAATGATTTCTATCTTTTGAGCTTCTATTTTGTGGCAAACACTTGTGGTAGGTCCTTTGCATAAATTCATTCACATTATTCTTTTATCCTAATTTTACAGAAGAAGAAACTGGGCACAAAGAGAGTAAGTAAATTGCCCAAGGTCTTACAGCTAGTTAAGTGTAAATTTCTGAGCTGGGATTTGAACCCTTGCCTCTCTGATGCGAAAGCTACTGTGTTCTTTGTGCTTCCTGCAGCTTGTTGATTACATAGTCCTGTTCAACATGGCGATAGGGGTTTATGCACTAAATTATATTTAATATTAGTAGAATTGGTGTGACAATAATTAAAACCAAGAGCCCAGTTTCCCTACTAGTCAGAATTTACCTAATCAGGTAAAAAATTGTGTGAGAGGGAAATGAGCAAATTTGGACTGCTTTCTTGTCTTTGCCACTGAGTAAGTTGCAACTTTGCCTACACTCCAAAATAGGAGAATAAAACCAGATATTAGAATGTAAAGAATTAATATTGTAGAAATTATGTTTAAACTTTGAATTATTTGAGACTTTTACTTTGTGGAATTGAGATGTCAGAAGAGATTCTCACGAGATTTTGATTTGTCTGTGACAACTGTTGGCCAGTGGCTGTTAGGGTTGCTTCACTGGACCAGGCTAACTAAACAAGTTCTCTTTTTCTTTTCTCCCTGAAAATTATTGAGGCAACTATTGAAGTCACATGGACCAGAGATAGAAGTCAACCTTCTACCTATGCCTCACAAGGTGGTTCTGAGGATTAAATGACCCCCAACAGTGCTGGGCACATATCTAGCACTAAATAAATGTTAGCCCTTATTATTATTACTTTTACCACTACTAGTAATACTACGACCACTACTGAGGTTTTTTCTTTATTTGAAGGTGAGAGGTGTTTTTTCCTGAAGGAATACTCTAATGTTATTTTTTGCCTAAAGAATCAAGTTTCTTAAAATGAATACAGATTTGTGATGATAGGAAGAATAATTCTAAAATGACGTTAGAAGTTTAACATTATTTCTTGACACTTCCCAAACTGCATAGTGATTAGCCAAGCAAAAACATGTCAGAATTGGACTTGTATCCATTAGATAAATTAATGATAACCGATCATGGGCCAAATGTACTTCATACTTACATTATCTTTCTATGTAGGGAGATTCAGGTGGACCTTTATCTTGCCGAAGAAAAAGTGATGGAAGATGGATTTTGACTGGCATTGTTAGCTGGGGCCATGGATGTGGAAGACCAAACTTTCCTGGGGTTTACACAAGGGTGTCAAATTTTGTTCCTTGGATTCATAAATATGTCCCTTCTCTTCTGTAATTGTACCAGCTGGATTTTTAACTCTGATTTGTTAAAAATAGAGTCTTTATAAAGAATGCAATAAAATAAATCACTGGATTATTTCCAATTGGAAATGTCAGAGTATACACATTTGGTGTTTATTGAAAGAGAGAGATTAATGTGTATTCCATAAAAAGCTGCCCTAAGTATATTGGTATATTTGTTCTTAGGTGTCAAAAGGTCATTGATCCACACATAGAAGAAACCTAAAGTAATGTCATGAACCATGCCTCTAAAATAAAATAAGAAATAAGAGAGATGTCCTTACTTTATTTTATGTTCCTATTTAAGGTGCAGATGTTTGTAAGGATTTAGGCCAATTTGATTTATTGAAATAAAAAATTCTAGTAAAAACCTTACCTGACTTTAGCATTCTCATGAAATTAAATGCACAAAATAACCCCTTTACAAATGCAAATAAAGCAAAACTCATTTATTGACAGAGGAAGTACCCATATTATTGCTTTCCAATCCAATTGTGTCTAGCCATATTATAATGGATCTTCTTCAACCATGGTACCTGGTAATGTTGTATACAGAGAAATCAATCAACCAACCAGCAAAACTGTTACCAACAATTACTAAATGTAGAATGAAGCATCATGGTAGTTGGATTGAAAGCACATATATGAAATTCAAAGAAATTGTGGTAATGCTGGTTAGCAGTGAAAAGGCAAGGACATTTTTGTATGATTGGAGTGAAAGGGAAATTTTTCTGAAATATCATCGTCATCTGGCTTTTGATTCTTTTATAAAACCCCAATGGCCAAGACTTTCTTTTATTTTCAGAGTCTTACAATACCTTGCATAATTGTAAACCTACAGCACACTGTCAATACATCCTAGTTCAAGATTTATTTTGTCTTGATTTGGAGGATTTTATACTCTATCTCAGGATAATCTTTTCATTAACAGGAGCCAGAGTTAACAGTACCACCAAACAGATGAAAACAGCAGAAAAAAGAATATTATTTGTTTTCCCTGGAGCAAAACAAAGGAGTAATAACAACACTATTATTAAAGTGTCCAGAATAATACAAAGAACTTCAGAGAATCTTAATGCAATAGCAAAAGGAGAGCTTGGAAGACTGCCATAATCCATCTGACATGAGAGGGAATCTCCCATTGATATTGAGCTCCTGCAATCTAATCAGGCAACCAGGAGAAAAGTTGTCTGGGCCCTGGTAAGGATGTGGGGTGCAGTCAAGTGTTTGAGAGCTTGCCATGCTTCTATTCTGGTCAGGTCCACATCTTTTTGAAACTACAGATCCTGTTAGGAACCAACCCTACCTCCCACCCCATCCCTTCAGTGATTGCAGTGTCTAATCAGTCTCTAGTCCCTTTTAGGCCCAGGGGCCAGCTTCCTGCTATTGTTGTCCCTTGGGTGCTTCAGCATTCCTTGTTGATTGCCTTAACCCTTGCTCCTTGGTTAAAAAGCCTCTTCCAAAATCCCAGCCAAGAACGCAGCCTGGATTCTGCAGCCTAATGCCGGCAAGACCTGCCTGTTAGAGCAGACAGAGCAGAAGTCAGTGCAGGCCAGCCACTGAGTCACTGCAGTCAGCACGACCCCCTTCAGCAGGCGGATGAGTGTGAAGTTCCGACAATCTGATAGCAGACAGCAGACAACTGGAGACACGCTCTCTAGGCAAAGTGTTTCAACAGTAGGCATCGAGGGTGCCAGACTTTTGGACTTAAGTCAACATCTTCTGAAGAAGAGATTATTTATATGCTTCCTGTCAATGCCCTAAACTGGTCTTAATGTGTGCCTGTTGTGGAAAGGCTGAGAAGCAGGGAGCAAGCCTGCTCTGAACAGAAGCTTGGGAGGTGAGGCCTTTGGGTGGTGAAACCAACACACACTTTGTTCAGCAAACATAATTCCAGGCTCACGAAAGCGGAAGTTCTGAACTATGAACTACGGATAGGGAGTCAAGGACACTGGTGTCAGTGTATACATGTGCAGATGGAGGGTGTGTGTCTATGGCCCCTCCCCCAAAGATAAATAATAGTAGCCAGCATTACGAGCGCTTACTATGTGTCAGTCACTGTTCTGAGTGATTTATTTACACCAGCTTTTAATTCTTGGCAACAAATACAATAGGGGGTACTCATGCCAGCTTTCCAGGGGGAGACACTCCGGCACAGAGAAATGAAGCCTGAGGTCTCACAGTTAGGAGGAACCTGCTGAGTAGGGAATAACCCAGGTAGCCTGTTCTAGAGTCAGCGGTCTCCCCATGCCGCCCAGCACTGTCTCTGTGCCTGACTCTGGAATTGTAAGAGGAAGTGCGTTCGTGTGCATCATTCACCTTCATATGCCCAGAACCCAGCACATGCCTAGTACGCAGTAGGTGCTTCCTGCTCCTTTGTTGATTTAGGGAATGAACTTTTGCTGGGCAGCGAGGACTGGGGTAAACCCCGGTAAGCAACAGCTCTTCGGGGTAGAATGCAGACTTTTTCCGTGGGACAGCGCTGCCGGGCCCATCCTTTCCTTACCACGACCCTAAACCAAGCAGGTCGCAAGCTGAGATGGTTTGTAGCTGCTGTAACAGGGAAAGGCACAGCAGGCAGCGCCCTGAACAAACCAGAAAAACAGCCCTCCTCCGCTCGGAGCCCACGGCGGGCACAGCCCAAGTAGCTCTGCCGGGCTGGAGGCCGCGGTGCCGGCCGCTCGCCGCCCCGCCCTCCCGCCGCTCCCGCCGCCCGAGGTGCAGGGCGGCCCCGCCCGCTGGGTGGAGTGCGGCGCGGAGGCAGCCTCGGACTCTGCACCCTCAGGTGCGCGGCGCCTCCCGGCCCAGCCGCTCCATGGAAGGGGCCGAGTCCCCGCCGCCGGGAGAGGAGCTGGAGCTTTCGGTGCTCGAGGGGCAGCCGGACGAGCAGACGCCTCTCAATGGAGACGTCCAGGCCATCCCTGTGGCCGACGGTCCCTGCCCAGCACAGGTAAGGTCCCCGGCGGCGCGACAGCAGCACAGGGGCCTGGCACCCGCAGTTTCAGGCTTCCAGCCAGGCCTCCGGGCGGCACAGACGCAGAGCCTAGGTGGTGCGTGCTCGAATATTCTAGACGGAGTGGAGAGAAACGGATGACTTCGGGCCGGAGCAACCCGTCCCCGCCCCGGGCCCCTCCGACTCCTCTGACCCCTGTGTCACTTCTGGAATCCTGCTGGTGAGGTGTGGCCTGTGGCCGCTCCTCTCTTCACTGAGAATCCCCAGGGATAGAGGTGGTTTTTAATAGTTATGTAACTTTTAATTAGTTTTTTTTTTTTCTTTTTCAAGTAGGGAGAAGGAGAATGATAGATTGAGTCTCCTTTTCCTCAGAATCTCTTCTGCCTCCCTCTTACCTTCACTGCCTCACCACTTCCACGCCCTTTCCCTCTCCCTCCCCTACCACCCATCCCCCAACTCCCATCCAGGCTCACCCTCCTCCAGACACTTCCTATCTTCTTCCGACCTGGCCATTTCATTCTGCAGGAAGAGAGATAGGGGAGAAGCGAGAGGGGAGAGAGCAGCAAGAACAAGAGGAGTTAGGGGTGGCGCAGGGTGGCTCAGTTGAAGGAAATACTTTCAAAGTTCCTGCCTCAGAGGACTAGACTATGCCCCATCTGCTTTTGCCCCTCTCAATCCCTAAGGAAGTCTCTGGCGATGTTTAGGCTGAGCTCTTTTCTGACTGAACATTATTCACTCCTAGCAAATGCTTGTAAAACATCAGAGCTTTGAATTCCAGATCATCCACCTTCTGATGAACCTCCAAGATTGGTTTGAGGTTTGCTGGGTACATGGAACTCCATATATATATAGTTCCAACCTGATCTTAAGACCCTCTTCTTCGCTCTCAACTTTTTGGCTGCCCAACTGTTGATTTTAGGAATAAACAGTAAATTCAAATGTTGCAAGCATTGCTTTTGCTCTGCATTGATTCCTGGAAATATTGTAAAAGTCTGTTTTTATAGGTACTCTGGAGAGTAATTTGGTTCCTTATCTTTAAATGAAACAGGAGCTCCACAGGAGAATGAAGGTTGCATAAAGATGGTCTGATTGCAAGTGCAAGTGGCCGTGACTGTGGACTTGCCATGTGGATCCTTGAGAGCAATGTCTAGGAATGGGAACTGAGACTACTTGCCTCACATTAGATAGACCTGGACACCCCAAAGACTCTATGGTTTGGTTTGTAACTGAATCCAGAGATCTGGTGACAGTTTCACCACTAAATAGAGTGTCCCAGGGGCAGGGCTGTCCATGGGGGTAGTATAATGTGCCAAGCCCTGGGAATGCCCTGTTGCAAACAGTTGAGGTGCAGAACGTACCAAATCCATGTAGAGTATCAGTATTTTATAGTTGTTAGCACCTGTCCTGTAGAGATTGCTCTTTTATGTTCTAATGACTTCCTTGTTAGGTATATCCTAGATACCCTAGACTTACTTGTATGTTAGCCTTGTGGGTCACTAAGTGGCAAAGCTGTGGTCAGTGACAGGAGGAGTGACAGTGGAGGGCTCCGTGAATACTGGGAGGGCATTGTAGAAGTCTGACTCTGATGTGCATCTAGGCATGGTAGCCTGAAACACTGGAATAGGAAAAATTTCAAAAAAGAGAAAAAAATCCATCCCTTAGTATGTTAATCCTTTTTTTTTTTTGGTTTAATAGAATAAGGTATTTCAATTTAAAAAGTCAATTAATACAGTGTTGATGGAAAACTCAAACTCTGTAAAATAATTTAAAGAGATTTATTCTGAGCCAAATGTGTGCATGATGTTCTCAAGAGGTCTTGAGAAAACATGCCTAAGGTGGTTGGGTTACGGTTTGGTCTTATACATTCATGGAGACAGAAATTACAGATGAAACCTCAAATCAATACATGGAAAGTATACATCGGTTTGGCCAGAAAAGGTGTGACATCGTGAAGCAGAGGCTTACAAGGCATAGGTGGGTTTTAAGGATTCTTTAGGTGACAATTGGTTGAAAGAGTTAAGCTTTGTCTAAAGACCTAGAGTTGGTAGAAAGGAATACTTAAGATGGGAGTCTGCGAGAGTGGAATTAAGATAAGGGGGTTTTCTATCTGTTCTGTGCTGCTATACTGGAATCAGGTTGGAATGTAAGCTACATTATACTAGGTTAATAAAGACTCATTTAAGGATATTTTATTGTTTATAGGCATTGTAGAAAGAAATCTGGGCAAGAGATAAAAGGTCAGAATACAATCCTCAGTAGGGTCAATAAAAATATTGACTAGCACAAATGCAAGATTCAAACAAGAATTTTGTGTGTAGGTCTCAAACTGTGTGTCAAGAATTCCAATTTTGAAATGTAGTGTAAGTGCATGCATTTTCATTAACCATATATTTTATACCTGTCGTGTGACAACACTTGTGATACATAAATGCATTTGAGTATCACAAAAACTTAAGAGGAAGGTGTCAGTATTCTGTCAGAAACTGAGGCTCTGAGGAGTGACTAAAATGCTCAAGTTCACTCAGTGGTGCCTCTGAAGCTTAAACTCAGGTTTTTAAGGTCTCAAACCTATGCTGTTTCTGTCGATCTATTTAATCTATCAACAGATAATTGAAATATATATCTTATATAACTTATTTATGGTTGCCTAAATTATAAATTATCTATTACTAATTTTTGTAAGTTAGGTAATTTGTAATTAGGTAATTTAAGTGAAATAGCAGTTGAGTGTCACATCTGGAGTGATGAGCGAGTTGCAGGTGGATGGGTGGATGGGTAGATGGGTGAGGAGTAGGGAACAGGTGTGGGATCATTGGGAAGAAGACATCTCATATTGTGGGTATCTTCCTATTTGGAAGAGCTGGGCTGAGAGAGTGTACAAATGCAGTAGAAAGAACTGCTTTCCCTTTCTTGATCTGGGTGAGGGGATTCGGATAAAGGAATGTAAGCCACTTTGCCTGCCATCGCTGTAAACCTGGCAATATCATTGGGTCAGAAGTGAAAAAGAAATTATGGATAATAAGGTGAGACCGGTTTTCTTTTATGGCTCATTACATGGGCTCTGACCCAGTTTCACATAGAAGTCCTAGAGACATTTTAAGTGATGGCAGCATCATTAAAATAATAATAAACCGGTAATTGCTAGTTTTGAGGCAGGCAAGACTTATTTGAATGGCCTAGCTAAAAATTAGCCCATTGCTATATGTTGTTCAGTCCAGGACAAGACTCAACTGGCTCTTTTGTGCTTGGATCAAACAACAGGTGGATTAAATCCTACAACGAAGATTATAAGGAATATATTTTTCTATGTGCTAAGAAAATTTTCCCTAATCTATGTCATATCTGCTCCTGATTGAGCCAGAGAAGAGAAGAAAAGCTTTTTGGATAGAAGAGATAGACAGTCCTGCAGTTGTTATGGGATCCCATGTCCTGTATTTAGACTTTTACCTGAAGAGAGATGTGAGTATTGGGGGAATGCGCAGAAGAAAGCCATGAAAATTCTTGAGCTGTGTAGTGCAATCATAGAATGTAAGGTGCAGTTTGCAAAGATCTCTGGTGCCTTGCAGAAGAACCTGTCTGAGGCCTCTCCTCACGTCCTAGCACATGGGCAAGAGAGAATGAAGAAGCCAGGGAAGGAGGCAGTGTGTCTTCGTGATCCAGTTTTGAGAGAAGGCTCAGCACAGGTAGCACACACCTACTATAGCAGAGGTTCTTCACTCTCAGGTCACATTGGAATCTTCTGAGGTCACCTCTAAAAAGTACTCATTCCTCAGTTGATTCTAATGTGCAGACAGCGGAGAAGCACTGTATACTCTGTTGTTAGATTGGGAGTAGCTGACAGACTGTTTTTTAATGACTCAAAGTCTAGGAAGATTAGTCATGCAAGGGACAGTGATGAGTGGCCTTGGTTTTAGGGCCGACGACAGGTCAGTGAAGGGCACCAGTCTGTAGGATGGCAGCCTTGGGCTGGACAAGCAGAGAGAGGCATTCCCTGCAGATGAGGACTGTGTCATTTTGAGCTGAGTTCCTCTAGGAAGTCACAGAGTAATTAGTGGTTTTTTTAAGCCACCAGAGCCCTAATTTATGATCTGGAAGGAACAGCCTAAGTGACGGCACAAGAGGACAGGGAGGTACACTAACAATTATTCTGTGGCTTGAGACTCCAGGTCATTTTCTTTTGTGCTGATCTTTATGGTCATGGCTGCCTTTTGTATAAGGACTGAAAACAATGCATGGTCTTTTGGTTCCCAGGAGCTCTGTAAGTGGGGGTATATGTTTCTGTTCCCTGAGAAATTAAAGATTCCTTGTACTGGGACTTTTTTTCCCCATGTGTCTTATTAAGCCCTTGGCTTTGGTAGCTTTGGAGCAGTTCTGCAGTCTTCCCATAGGGGTGTGAGGTGGCCCTGTCCCTGCACTCCCGAGCCCCACGGCCTTTATTGCCCCCCTCACACCCATGACAGGCTGGGCCTGAGAGCCAGTGTAGAGTGCACTTAGGGGCTCTAGCGTTTGACCCTTCCTCCAAGATTTCTCAAAGTACATTCTTAGAATTTGTGGAGCCTTCTACAACTAAGCAACATACATTAAATGTCTATTACCCGTAGGGGGCAAAAGTGTAGAATCTAAGAATAAGGAAGTTTAAGAACCACCCCTCCCTGTATGTGGTTTCAATTTGCCTAGGAAGATAAGGCCAGTATCTATTTGTATTTGAGCATGAGACAGGGCAGTCAGTGGCAGTAGCAGATGAGCTATGTGGACAGCCCATGAGCTGGGAGATATCACTGAGGGCTGGTGGGAAGGGAAGTGTCCACAAAAGGGGGGATTTGACCTGGCTCAAAGTGGGAAGCTTCAGACCTGGGGTCTCAACCCTGGTAAGTCAGTTGATTCACTTTGGAAGGTTTAAAGTTACAAGCCAGGGCCTGCTCCCACCTCCCCTACAACGTGGTTGTCCACACCCTAGGTGCCGGTGGGGCGAGGTATGTGTCATTAAAATTCTCCCCAGGTGACTCTGAAGTGCATCCAAGCATGGTAGCCCGAATGTGGACTAACAGTTTCCTTTTCTGAAGGCCACCAGTAAAATAAGAATGGGAGAGAAAGTGAGAGTAAGTGAGAGTAAGTAAGAGAGAAAGTGAGAGTTTGAGAGTATCTCCTCTAGTGTCTGCTGCTACTCTGTGGGACAGGTGGACACTCTGAGTAATGACTGAGGAGTGTTTGCTCCCCTGGGTCCAGCTCCTAATCTTTGTTTAGCTGTTAGCAGATGCTTTGTTTCCATTATCTCTAGTTTTTGCAACAGCCCTGTGAGCTAGATTTATATATTTTAAAATTGAGAACACTGGGGCTGTGAGTTTCAGTAGCTTGTATATAAAGTCACCCTGCCTTTAAGTGGTATACCTCAGATTGGAATCCAGGTATGTCAGATGCAGAGACACCTCTCCACCTCCCACCCCCCGCCCATCATAGTCCATTGTGTCCCATGGTCTCCATTAGGAATTACCTCTTAGTGCGGGGGGTGGGGGGGGTGGGGGGGGAGGGGAGTAGAAGAAGAGTGACGGGACCATTAGGGCCAGGTGCAGGCCCCTCCTAACACTCATAACCTGGAGCTCCACATGGTGCTGCCAGGAGGCTGTGGACAAAACGGAGAGTTCAAGAGTTTTGCAGTGACTCACAGCAGGGATTCGTCCTGGTGAATCCCCTCCCCCCAACTGTGTCTTTGAAATGGGCGAATGCACACCTTGAAGGGCTGTTGGGATTAAGTGAAATGACAATGACGCTGGTGCTGGATAAACCATAGCGGTTGTAATTGTTTTCCTTGGCCCCTCTCTCTGCCTCACTGCACCGTTTGCAGCATATTTCCTTTTGTTTCTTGCATCTGTCCCTTCATTTCCCTTCCCAGGCCTTTTTTACATAGAATCTGGGCCACAGCAGTAGCCTTGTAGCTTTTCCTTGGTGTGTCAAATCCAAACTACACATCATTTTTCTCCTAATTTTCAATATGCTCTTATGTTCCGAAACCTTCAACAGGTCACCAGTGCACACCAAATTAAGTCCAAACTGTTCAGGTAGCAGTCAGAACCCTCTCGAGTATGCTCCAACCTTTCGCCTTCTCTAATCTTGACTTTCCTCACTTGCCTCTGACACTCGCATTCGGGTCATCAGACTAGTCTGTTGGCCAGTTCCATTACGAATCAACACTGGCTGCTCTTTCCTGGGTTTGGAATGCCTTCCCAAACCCATCTTTCCCAATTCTACCTGTCCTCTCCACCTCAGAGCCCCCAGAGCATTTTCTTGCTACCTTCTTTGTGAGGTTCCGTTCTGCCCTCGTGTATCTTTTTGTAAACTTCCTGCAGTAGAGTGTAGCCCCCTGAGGTCAGGGTCCCGCAGCCTTCCTAGCTCCTAGTAGATATTCAGAATGTCTGTTGAAACCACATGACTACCTCACGATCTTCCTCTGCCTTCTAGGCTAACAGGGAAAGCACCTGGAGCTCCCGTAGTAAGAATTTGTGTGGAAAGTATAAACCGTGGAAGGTCATCGTCTCCATTTTTGTAGGTTTCGCTATAGTGATCATCATAGGCTTATCGCTCCATGGAGGTAAGAGGACTTAAACGGGACGAAATTGACATGTTCTAAGAACTTGTTTAAAGCCTGTGACTTACGTTAAAATGGAAGACGCACTCATTGCTCTTTCATTATTTAGAACGTTAATTTAAAACTGGCTTGGAATTTGTTGTATGGGGGGAGATGAATTTCTTTTTGTTCTTTGTATTTTTTTTTGTTGTTGTTGTTGCTTGTTTGTTTTGTAAACTCCAGAAGAAATATGGAGACTAAAGTTTTACTTTATAATTTGCTAATTGGATCTTAAAGAGTCTTCCTAAATTTTTAATTACTTACTTAAACCTTATTACATCTTGATACTTGTTTATTTGAAATTCTTTTTCTTCTTCTTTGTTTAATAAAAACAATTATTGTACTTCATCTAGTATATCTGTTATATTATTATCATAATAAAATAATCAGGAATATATTTGCAAGAGTTTTTAAAAAACTATAGAACATGTATCTAGAAGTTGTCATTATTTTAATTTATTTTAGAAATAACTATTATATTTGTGTCATATGGTGTATAAAAAGCTTACATGCTGCTAAGTATATACTATATAACTATATATTTGATATATATTATCTCATTTTGTTATTTATTTTAAATTTAAAAACAGTATGATTCAGTTACCCATAAAACCTTCTATAATAATGATATCTTACTATATTTTCTCCTAGTCTTTTTCTTAATTATATTTTAAAAATAATTTGATATCAGATTTTTTAAAATAGTCTGTGACCTACCTAAATAGCTTTAATGTTATATTAATATCATTTTGCCAAGTCACTAAAAATTCTTTGGGAATATCATTTTTTTATGATTACATGATGCAGTCTTCTGTATCATTTTAAAGCTTTTTAGGTAGTTACCAATTTTATAATGATTATCAATATTAACATTTTTGCAATACATAAATACAGCATCCTCCAGTGGACAATCATTTCAATTTCAAAATTGAAATAGGAAAGAAAAAAATTGTTTGTATTCATATGTGGAGTAGGGGTGTTAGTAGAGAGGGGCTTGTCTGGAGCTAGGATACTCCTGAGCTTGATCAGGTCTCCGTGAGGATTTGGGTGGAGTCAGGCTGTCAGTGACTAAACCAGTCATAGAATGAGGGCAAGGCTGGGGCTCCCTGTGTCTCTCCAGAGGGAGTTCTTAGGAATTTTCCTCAGGAAGTATGTTTGCCATTCACCTCCTGTTCCCCCTTCTCCCAATGCCTTAATCTTCTATCTTAAGGTTGTTGTAATACCTGAAGGCATAGGAAAACTCTGATAATATCAGCCAACCTCCAGACTGTAAATTTCTCAGGCAGGTACCATGTCTGCTTAGTTAGTTAGGGCATTGTTTAGGTGGGTTGGGTGAGTCTTTGAGGCCATAGCTGGTTTTAAGGTAGGAAGAAGCTAATAAGACGTGCTGTACCTCCTCCATCATGCTGAGGACCATAATTTTGGTGTGAGCATTGATACTTCCTCTTCACATCAGCTCCAGCATGTGGATGTTGAAACTGGAGTTGAGCCACAGCTCTTGTCCTATCACGGCTAGTTGGTTCTATCCTGAAAGTTGACTGATTTGTCTGTTGGCATCTGGGCCTCTCACAAAGGATGATGCCACAGGTCTACGTGGTTTAATATTCAGGATCTGTCTTTCATTCTCAAAAAGTCATCCAACCTCTTCAACTCACAAAGAGCAACAGGCAAAGGAAGGTATTCTATTTCTGTTAAGTTTTTCTGGAGACATGCAGCTTATAGGATAATATTCAAGGAAGCATTTTTTAACACTTATTGTGCAAAGTTCATTTTTAGTTTGATTGTAAATTCGTGTTTTGACATACGTTAATGCTGTAAGAGAGATTTTTTAAACTTTTTTTTTTTAATTAAGGAAATACTTTTATTTTACTTAGGATCTACGTGGGAGTAGGAGAACTAGGCCAGAAGGGGTGGGGCAGAGCAGCTCCGTAGGCACTTCTAGGAGGACTATCTGAAATAATCAGGCACTGCCTAATTGCCAAGCCTGTTGATATGAATCAAATATTTGTAGAACCTTCAGTTACTATGTAGAAAATGTTGTCTGGGAAAAGGGCCCTGTCTAGAGAGTCAAGGGTTGTACCTGTGGCTCTGTGGATTTGCCGTTTTCTGCCTGTTTCCCTCCTCTAAACCCATCAATGTCCTGTCTCAAGGCTCTGCAGTCTTCCTTTCTTAGAGGAAGAGGCGTTAGGAACTGTGCAGCTGGGGTGAACACAAAACTGGACAGTAAATGCATCTCAAAACAGAAAGAGAAACTAGCTGGGGAGGGGACAACAGGATCTCCAGGGCAGCTTGCACATGGGGGAGGTATATTTTATCACTGACATGGTTAACAATTGCCAGCATACAGTGATAATAAAAGCAGGCCAACTTGTAGTTGGTTTTATTATTGTTGCTAATTTTCTAGAGTACACACTTCTTATTCTCTGAACCTGGGGTGGGCTTTCCCACTACCCTGCCCTTGTTATGCTGTTAAGGTGATGACAAATTCAGGATCACCGTTCAGTTCAAGGCATTGAGTGGGGGCTTTGTATGTGAAGAGGCCAGCGCTCCACCAGACTCACAGTCAACATTGAAATGTTTTTTAAATGTCCAATTTTATGGGCAGAGTCCAGGGAATCCTGTTGTCTAGAGGCCTGGTTTTGTCCCACCTCTTTGGGGAAAAGATATTAATGGATTCTCTCCTGCTCCTTAAGGAACATAAATTCCTTGGCGTGAAGGGTAAATGAAAAAAGCCTTCCTTTCCTCAAGATCATTTTCTTTATGGGTCAATTTGGAGAGCCAGTTATGCATCCTCAAGTGTTCTCTTTTCTTCACTAATTCACTCCAGTCAGGAAGGGCAGAGACCTGAGTAACACCCTACAGATAAATCTCTTCTTCGGTCCGGGCAAAATATTCTGAATGTTGCAGAAACCAAAGTGTGACAAAGAGGGAGGTGAATGCTTTGAAATAGGATTTAAAGTTACAACACTCTGGGGACCCTTATATGATATCCCCCAGCAGTACTTCACCCAGATTCCTGCCAGATCCTTCTAATCTCTTCATTTACAGGCCCTCCCACAAGTAGGAACGCTGTGGTACCGAGATGTAAGCGGGGACTTCCTGAGTGACGCTGTGTTGAATGGATTTGTTTTGTCTTTGAGTTGTGAATCAGAGCTACTTCTTGTGATGCCACAGGGTCCTGGCAGACTGACAGTTGACGGGGTATGCTCCCTGGTGTAGGGTGACTCGTGGGAAAGTCCCGGACAGACGGCATCAACAAGCTGTAAGCTACCAAGGTGCTTGGGGCAGCAACAGACTAGCAACTCTGACCCAGTACCTTGAAATTTCTTTACGTTTTCACCTGTTCATCTTTCCTTCAAATCGCAGATGTTTTCCACCTACCAAGACTGACTCCTTAACTGTGCTCTCCGTAGAAGACCCTTCAGCTTCGGATCCAGGGATCTTCAGATATCTTCTCCTCTCTCTAAGCACCTTAGGTTTCTTCTCAATTCTTTAAATGTGCTAGCATCATCTCTCCTTCAAAACAATCTTCCACCAGGATTCTTGCTACTTCCTTTAGATAGTTTTTCTCTTCTTCCGCTGGCAAACTTCCAGAAAGAAAGGGCTATATTTGGGTCTGGCCTCCAGACTGCTATTAAACCCCGTGTATCCACTTGTCCCAAATTGTTCTTCCTAAGGTTACTAGCAATTGTCTGTTCACAAAATCCAGCCTTTCTTCCATCTCCTGCCCTGTTTGCAGCCTTCAGTTCTCTCAACTGCACTGCATTCTTCTGAGTCTGCAGAACTCATGGACTTTAGGTCTTTTTTGCCTTTTTTGCTTTCGGCCTCTGCATTGTGGCCTCTTGTGTCCATGAACTTTCTTATTTTTCACATTTTTTATTTTTTCTGCAAGAGAACTCATTCACTCCCAGGGTAGCAGCCACACCCTCTGGAAGGTGATTCCTGGATTTGCATCATTTTCCTGAGTTTTAATCTCTACCTTGAAATAACTCATCATTTCGATCATTATTCACGTGAAACTGCTATTCATCTGCATCCTGTCTTAGTCTACTCAGGCTGCTGTAACAAAATGCCATAATCTGGGCAGCTTATAAACAATAGAAATTCTTGCTCACTGTCTGGAGGCTGGGAAGTCCAAGATCAAGGCATCAGCACATTTGTGTCTGGTGGGGCCCCTTTTCTTGATCATAGACAGCATGTTCCAACTGTGTCCTTACATGGTGGAAGGGGCAAGGTAGCTCTCTGGTATCTCTTTCATAAGGACATGAATCCCATTCATAAGGGCTCTGTCCTCATGACCTAATCACCTCCCAGAAGCCCCCACCTCCTATTACCATCACATTAGTGATTAAGTTTCAACATACAAATTTTTGGGGGATGGGGACATAAATATTCAGAACATAGCATATCCCTTTCCCAATTTGCACACCCTTTTCCCAAATTCACTCAGCCTTTATATGATACCAGGATTATTTCAGTTCTGCTAGTATCCAGCTGTGTAACTTTAGGCGAACTTTTTGACCCTCTGGGCCTGTTTTCACATTTGTAAAATATAAATGATTTCTGAATCTGAGTATATAAATGAACCTTGACCCTGATACACAGTAGCTCATTGACCTAAACAGATTAAGAATTTTCTCTAAGCCTCAATGCCTTTATTTTAAAATGAAAACAATAATATTTAACTCATTGTGTTGATTGCAGGATTGCACAAGGTAACTGCATAGCAGAGTGTTTGTACCTAATGCTTAATACAGTAGCTATTATTCTTCTTGTTACCCAGGTTTGATATCTTGGAAGCATTTTTGATTTTTTTCTTCTCTCCTATGTCTAGATAAGACTAACTCTCACCAGATAAGACTAACTTCTACCATTCCTTGGTAGAGTTTTGATAGCAACTTTCCCACTTACTACAAGATACCATGCTGGGTACTTTATGAATGTTGGTTCTCATCTTTACCATCAGCTGCAATGCAGGTGTTGATATTTCTGTTGAAGAAACAACTTCAGAGATTTAAATGACTTGCTCAAAGTCACATGGCTAATAAAAGGTTCAAACTGAGTCTGGCTAGCTTTAAATCCAACTCTGTTGCCACTGTCTTGAACTTGCCCATTCATTTTTTTCCTTCCTGTTCCCACTGCTGTCAGTGAAATTGGTCTCTCCCAATCTTGTGCCCGGGGCCTCTCTGCTTTCATTCTCTCTGGGTTCCATTTTATCCCATCCATGACCACCAGATTAACCTCCCATAAATGCTGCCTCTACTGTCTTTGTGGGACACATTTATCAACCCTCTGTTACCTTCTGAAGGCATGTGACATTTAAGGTCTCCTTCTCCAGCTTTGTTTCTTATATTCCAGCCAAAGAGCTGTTTTCATTTTTCTTCAACATACTGTATATATTTTTGTGATTTTTTTTAATAAAAAAACACATTTTCTGCTGCTGCTCAGATTGTCTCATTAGTGACATAAAAACTCTCCTGGCTGGGTAAGCCTGCTGCTGCGGTTATTATTTTGACAAACACAACTATTTATCAAGGTCTTTGTGCAGATTCTTTATTTGGGTGATACAAGTTAAGTATATGTCATAGAGCTGTTATTGGAGACTTCTTTTCGAACTTGGCATCTCTTCTCAGTGCTCTTGAGTTCAGCAATTATTTGAATGCAGGGTTATCCTTTGGCATCTCCTGTTCCTTTCTGAGGCATTGATATCTATGGTGGAAATCTACATGGTGGTGCAGAGCTCAGTGAGATCTATTGCAACATTATTGATAGCAGCGAAAAGCTGAAAATAATAAATATATTATATTTAAGAAAATAGGTGAGCCTATCATGAACATTATGGAGCCATTAAAATAATCTTTGAAAGGAATTTCAAGCACATGGGGAATAGCTTTTGATATGTTAACAACAAAGGAATCAAAATAAGTAAGTAACAATAGCAACAATCAGCAAAAAGCAGGATATTAATTACCTGCTCATTAACACCTCAAATATATAATATAAAATATGAGGATAGCCTCTTGATTAAAGGCTTATGAGTAATTTTTTTTTTTTGCTTTGTTCTAATTTTCTAGACTTTGCAAGTTTTCTGCTATAAAGGCATAACTTTTATCATCAGGAAAAATAATGTAATGACTAACAGCATATAAGAATGCAGAGATAATTCCTTGTCTTTGAGGGTCCCCAGATCACTCCTAGATTGAATGATTTTCGAGAAAGACTTATAAAACTCGCATACGGTTGTACTGGTGATTATGATTGATTACAGCAAAGAGATACATTACACAAAAAGATTGATTAGAGCAAAATCCAGAAACTAGGAGCAAGCTTTCAAGAGTCCTCCCCCAGTGGAATTGCACAAGCTTCACTTAATTCCTCAAGCAATTAGCTGTGACAACACATGTGAAATGTCATTTACCAGGGAAGCTCATTAGAGATTCAGTACCCAAGGTTTTTACTGGGGGTTGGTCATGAACATAGCCTTTGCCTAGCGTGTACCAAAAATCCAGGAAAGTAGATGTTAGTCACATTGTTTGTACAAACAGTTGAGGTACATGAATCACTCTTATCAGGGAATGATGGAAACCCTCCCAGAATCCAAGTTCCCAGATGCCAACCAGGGGCCCACTTTGAGCAGGCCCTTCCAATGCTAGCAGTCTCAGGCCTACTGTTTTGACTCTTTTCTGCACATTCCTTGCCCCAAACACTTCACGTGTCCAGATTTCCTCTGGGAATAAGCACTAGGATTCTTATTACTTCTTACCTGACCTTTCATCACAAACACTGAATTTATTCCACTAGGCCTTTTCAAAGTCCAGTAAATGAGGCGATGATGTTATATCTGAAGCATGAGATTTGAGGGAAATGTCTATGGCAACACACGCACCGGGTGCTTCCCACCCACACCTTTCTCAGGGCCAGAGAGGTAGTCCCCTGTGTGGGGCCCCTGTGAGGCTGGAGTGGAGCCAGGGAGCATAATTAGCGCTCTAGTGCCAGCTTCTGGCTCCTGGCTTTGTGTGGTTTTCCTTTAGCTCTAACTGCTTAGAAATCAATTAGCTAGCAGTCATTAGAACACAAGCAGCAACACTGAACTCATTGTCCCAGGGACATAATTCCTGCGTGCCCCAGGGCTCTGAGTGCAGTTTGACTTCCCTTCTGTAAACTGTGTGTCAACATCCCTCTCCCGTGGGACACAGTCTAGAGGTGATGACTTCATGCCTGTCCCCTGCCTTCCTGGGAGACGTCAAGATGTGGGCTCACACGCTCATGTTCTAGTCCCACCTCTGTTCTGCTTGATGACATCACTTCCTCACTGTGGTCTTTGATAGCACAGAACTGGATGGGGATGCAAAAAGTTGCTTGCTCACCCCCGTCCCCTGTCACCCACTGTTCATCCGCCTCACCGTCTCCCAGCTCCTGCCTTGTCACCCGTGCACCTAGCTAAGAAGGTTCAGTTCAACAATGAAGTTCATGTTCTTCACACTCCCTCCCTCCAGCCTTCCTCTAGTTTGTATTCAGTGGGATCTGAGACCCATTTGGCATAAAACCAACAAAACTTTTACCATGATGGAGGCAAGGCTCTGTCTTTTATTTGCTTTTACTGAGCAGAGAAAGCATTTCTGCTTATCCTTGCTTGATGTGCCCAGCCTTTACCCTTGATGAGTGCTCATTGTTATGTTTAAATATAGCCGTCAGTGAAATAAATAAATGTGTGATTTTATGCAGGTGTTTACTTTTGTTTTTTATTTTTGCCTCCTACTCTCTTCAGTAACTTATGTTGATGAAGATGAAAATGAAATACTTGAATTATCATCAAATAAAACATTCTTGGTCATGCTAAAGATTCCAGAGGAGTGTGTTACTGAAGAGGAATTGCCTCATCTGCTCACCAAAAGGGTAATTATGTCTAATGCATTGTTTACTGAGTTCTTAACATTAGAATGTGAGTTTTGCTAGAATAATTGGCACAGAGCAGTGGAGTAAGTGGCTTCGGTCTCGGATTCTTTATCTGGATTTTGCCAGAAAATAGTGCACATAAATGTATTTTCTGTAGTCCAAAGCCACAGAAAAGAGCCCTGGGTTCTTGCCATGTGTATCCTAGAGGACAGTGTTCTGCTTTCTCACTCTGGCCTTGCAGTTGATTGAACTTATAGTATTCACTGAGGGTCTGTACGGTATGGCAGACAGCAGGCCAAGTGTCAGGGCTGTATATTCTGTTCCCTCAGTGCCCTCATGGTCCAAGTAGAGGCGGTAATTACAGAGATAGTTCTAAAACAACATGATATGTCCTGTTACTGAGATATGTACAGCGTGTTTCACAACTGCAAAGGATGGCCAAATTTTCAAATTTTGAAAAGAGTTTTCTGGATAAAAGCATGTGATAGGCTGGGCGCGGTGACTCACACCTGTAATCCTAGCACTCTGGGAGGCCAAGGCTGGCGGATCATTTGAGCTCAGGAGTTCGAGACCAGCCTGAGCAAGAGTGAGACTGTCTCTACCAAAAATAGAAAAATTTAGCCAAATGTGGTGGCGCATGCCTGTAGTCCCTGCTACTCAGGAGGCCGAGGCAGTAGGATCGCCTGAGCCCAGGAGTTTGAGGTTGCTGTGAGCTAGGCTGATGCCACAGCACTCTACCCAGGGCAGCACAGTGAGACTCTGTCTCAAAAAAAAAAAAAAAAAAGAACATGTGACATCAGGGGATCTGCACAGTAGTGTGCAGTGGCCTTCGCGTGCTGTGTGGTTTTTCCACTCTTCGGTTAGGAGCAAAAGATTTTAATCAGCAGATTGCCATGGTCAGAGATTTTCATATTAGCCTTTCTGGGTGATGGTGGAAAAAGAGGAAGAGATGAGTTAGAAGGCCAGGTGAGAAATGACGGAGGCTTGAGCCAGAACAGGGTCAGGGCTCAGATGAAGGGCTCAAGTGAGATTTAGGAAGTTTTCTTGCTCAGCAGGACTCTGACTGGTTGGATGGTGGGGAGGGCGAGCCCGTGTCCAGGCTTCTGGTCGAGCGACTGGGCAGATGGAAGGTGGCATCATTTGTGGAGTAGGAAATGTAGGAGAATGAAACCCCGTGCAGTAATGGAGCTCTGCAGCCAGGCCGTGAGGCTTGTGGAGCAGTCCTGGTCGTCCTCTCAAAGGCAGGGTGGTTCACAGCCAGACCTGGCAGGTTTTTGATAAGAAGATCTGAATGAGACCTTTTTAATAAAGGGATTGGTTCTGTAAAGTTTGGATTCAGTCGAGGGCTGCACTTGGGGATCTAGTGGGTAGTGTGGTAAAATGGGAATAAGCTGAGTTTTAGTGTCTGCAATACCTAAGATTGAATTTTCACCATTTACTAGCAGAGTGACCTGGGGCAGGTTTCTTAACCTCTTGGAATGGAGTACTGTTTTTGTTATTAGTGAAAGGGGAGATATATTAATGCCTGTTTTGTTGGGTTCTTACAAGGATTACAACCATTATGACAAGATTAGAGGAGCACAGGTGCTCTGATCGTTTCCACTCTGCCTTCGAGAGGTTGCATTGCACCTGTTGCATTAAGTGGGAGCATGTTATGGAATGGCAGCTTTCTTGAGATTCGGTTTGGAATTGGGTGGGAGACGAGGTGAACTCCTCATAGGGCACTGCTGTTTTTTGTATGTCCCTCTGTTTGTTATTGGGTAAAGTAATGGGGCACTAATGAAGCCATAACGGCTGAAGCTGGGCATGCCTGGCTCAGCACAAGGGGGGCATTGGGTGCTGGTGGGATTTCCAGAACAGTGTCGGGGCTGAGGGCGGGTCTGGCAGTGCTCTTGCCATGGCTCACACCAGCCCCACAGCTGGGTCCATGCTGGGGAGTATAACCAGATCCCAGGGCGGTCCTCTTCTTTTATGCTAGAACCAATCTGCTAAAGAAGAAGGCATTTAACCTTCCAATGTAAATTTAAAAGAAATGCAATGTAAATACATTCAACCACATGTACTCGAGTACTCATAGTAGGTTAGGATTCCTATCTCCGAAACATGACTAATCAAAGCCTGGGAAAAGATAGGTGTAACACAATACCAACAAGTTAGGATTCAGAGTATAAAACCAACCAGGGCAGATAGATAAGAAAAAGATAACCCAAGAGAAAGAAGGGAAACTAATGGGCAGTTCAGAGTTGAGAAGTCCCAAACAGTTAATAAACCAACAGTTGCTTTCCTTTGCAGGCAAGGCAGTACAAATTAAAACAATCTGAAACACTATTTCATGCCCCTCAGATTGGCAAAAATTTAAGTCTGATAACCTGAAATGCTGGCAAGAATGTGGGAAATGGAATACATGTCCATTGCTGGGAGAGGAAAAGGGAGAACAACTTTGTTAAGTTGGAAATGCACCTTCTCTTAGGCCCAGCACTTCCATTTCTTGTATACACCCAAGGGAAACTCTTACGTGTACAAGAAGAGATGCACAGAGACATTCAAAGAAGACCATTTAGGCATAGGTAATAGGGGACAATTGGAAAGAGCGCACATCCTCATCGGTAGGCAATGGGTAAGTCTGTACAATCATTTAATGAAGTCTATGCAGGAGATAGATGGATGCCCTTTATCCAGATGTACCTTAGGAGTAAATCTCAAGTGTGATTTTGAGTGGAAAAAAAAGCAAGGCCTAGAAGATTATGTGTAATATTGTAACTTTTATTTGAACAAAAATGCAAATTAAATTATATATTATGACTACATAAGGAAGTAGTAATTTATAAAATTATGCAAGGAAAGGATGCATGCCAGCTTCAGGGTGACAGCTAGTATGAGGGAACAAGGAAAGAAAAACAGAACGGTGTCTGTAGGAGTCACTTTAGTTTTATTTTGTTTCTTAAAAAGGGCTGAGCTCAATCAATATAACAAAACGTGAAGGCATGAAACATAGGCAGTGGGAACACAGGTGTCATTTTTTGTGATGGTTGCAGTGGTTTATGCATAAAATAAAACCTCCATATCTTTGCAATTCCCCACGTTGTTCCTTTGTGCAGGGCAAGTGCTAGACCTGTGGCTCAGCATGGCTGTGTGTCCTTACAAGGAGGCTCTGGAGAAGGAAGAAAGGAGCCTTTGGCCTGTGGTGGTCCAGGTGCTGGGTGGTCTGTGGTGCTGTCCCCCCACCGCCACTTCATGGTCTTTTCCTGTGAGCTCCAGCTGTTGACCACTCGCACCACTAAGGCCACAAGGTGTCAGTGTGACTTAAAGGAGAGGTTGAAAATTCCCAGCCAACTCACTTGGTCCTCATAAATGTGGGTCTTTTGAGTTAGTGTTAACTTGAGTTTTGGCTTATAGTAGGCTCCAGCCTTCCTATATCTTGGTCCAGAGCCTCTAGATAAGTTAATTTCTAGCTAGAGTGGAATTTCCTTTGTCTAGAAGCTTTGCTTTGCCAGGTGATGTGCACTAGGATCTGTCAGTAATGTGTGTGGTTGTTTTTTTGTTTCAGCTCACAGATGTGTACAGTACATCGCCGGCTCTGAGTCGTTATTTTACTTCTGTTGAAATAGCGGACTTCAGGTAAGAGTGTGGAGCATTACATTTTGGTCTCCTTCTCTGGAAAGAGACTCTCCCCACCCCCACCTGATCACCATTTACCTGGGAGGGTTTCCCTGAGCCTCAGAGCGTGAAGGACAATGATCATAGAGTCAGGGAGTGTTGGCGCTGGGAGAGAGGGTCTTTGGAGACCAACTGGCTCAACTCCCTTATTTTACAAATGAGAAAAAGGAAGCCTAGATCCATTGCTCATTAATGGTTAATGAATTAACGGTTCAACCAAGGTCACACAGTAGAGAGGAAAAGCCAGTCCCTGATGAACCATGTTTAACCATGGATGCTCAGATAAGCTAAGGGTAGAAATGGAAACAAATCTCAGATAATGCTATGATAGAAATGGTATAATCTACGTCCTGGCTTTTGCTTTTCAGGAGCACAAATAATCCAGGACTACATTCTCCTTGCTTAACATTAAAACATGTATACAACAGGAAAAGTCTGCCTTCAGCCTTTTCTCTTATAACTAATATAACAGCCTTTTCTCTTATAACTCTTCTCCATAACTAATTCCGTGCCCTGCCACAAAATTAACAGCTATCAGTAGTTTGGTGTGATTTCTTCTGTGTACCTGTGTAGTATACACACACACATATGTACTTTTTTTTTCTTTTTTAAATTTCCCCCTGATCTTTAATATTTTCGGGCTGTAGGCATCAGGGTGTTTGTAAAGGAGTCAGTTTATTATCCTTTTATATCATTAGGACTATTGGGGATGATTTAAGCAAGATTTACACCAAAGCTTTATTATCTACTTTTCCTAAGATGTCTGAGGAATGTGACCATCAAAAGCAATATCATATCTCAAACCATAACAGACCTGGGAGGGGAAGTGTGTAAAGCAGGTGGTAGCACCACAGGGCAGGACCAAACTGACCCGAGGTCTGCAGATATTTAAGTGTCCAGCCACCTCCATCTTCCTTCTTTATAGATCCCCTGTGTCTACGTAACATCTTCAGCATTGCTTATTTTAATCATAAACAGTGGGTGCTAAAATGCCCATAGAAAAGGGAGGTATGCATGATCAGACCCAACGCGCTTTCCTCCATGCCTATCTTATGGGTCCAGAGTAGCTGGGATTATATAACAGGGGTGGCGGTAGATATTGGGGAAAACCCATCAGAAAACTGAGTAAAACATGGCCAGAAATCTGGCTAACACTTAATGTTAGAGAATCTGTTCTTAGAAGTTATTTGAAAGAAAAGCCAGGAACTTTAGTATTTTGTATAAAGAAATTCTCTCTGGAAAATATTTTTGTTTTGTTTGAATAAGTCCAGGCCGAGTTTCTAAAACGCTGAATAGAGAAACAAAAGCCATTGCTTCCAAAAGGATGCTGCACACGGGCAGGAGACAGCCAAACCCCTGGCGTGTGTGTTTGTATCTCCAGGAGGATCCCGACCTCAGTCTTGGAACAGGAACCTGGAGCAACGTCCTTTGGGTTATCGGCTGGCAGACCCACTCTGGTAGTGGGCAGCTGTAGCAAAGGCCACAGGATTCACTGCTTCCCTGAAATGTCCCACAGTGGACTAGATCTTCTCATTCAGCTTCTGATCCTGTCTTCTGAAAGCAGCCTCTGCCCTTTTCATTAGCCAGCCCCAGTCCTTGCTCATGGGATGCAGGGTGGCTGCCTGTCTAGGTGTTGACCCTCATTAGCCGTAATTAGAGGGCAGAGCTTAGAGAACAAGACACCTGCAAACTAGGGTCACTCCATTGGAATTTGAAAGTACATTTCCAGCCTGCCTATAGTGGTAGCCCTGAGACTGTGAATTTCTATGTGATCCACAGAGTTTGTCACATTTCTTGGCTGTGGTAGAGTTTTTTTTTTTTTTTTTTGAGACAGAGTCTCGCTTTCTTGCCTAGGCTAGAGTGAGTGCCGTGGTGTCAGCCTAGCTCACAGCAACCTCAAACTCCTGGGCTCAAGGGATCCTCCTGCCTCAGCCTCCCAAGTAGCTGGGACTACAAGCACGAGCCACCATGCCCGGCTGATTTTTATATTATATATATTAGTTGGCCAATTAATTTCTTTCTATTTTTATGGTAGAGACGGGGTCTCGCTCAGGCTGGTTTTGAACTCCTGACCTTGAGCAATCCGCCCGCCTCGGCCTCCCAGAGTGCTAGGATTACAGGCGTGAGCCACCGCGCCCGGCCTTGTGGTAGAGTTTTTTAACTGAATCCTCAGCCACTTCGTAAAATGCAAAAATATTGGCCTATGTGACCTCTGGCCACAAGAGGGAGCTCTGCCTCCCCTTAGCAGGGCAGTGGCCTAAGTCATGCCTCTGTAAAACTTCACTAGGGTGATAGTCTCGGATACCATCTCCTATTAATTATTTTATCGCTGGTTCTTAATCTGGGTCATCTTGAACCAAAGTAATAGAATAACTGTGAAAAATCTAAGTGTTGAAATAACGTTTAAAGAGCAGCATAAGCTACTAATTAACTGAGGATAGCCCTATGGTTATTTTTATTTTAGAAATGGGAAAAATATGTCCTAGGAAGATTTTCCTTAGATCCTATTAGTGAGAGTTTAAAGCTTGGTCCTCCTGCCTTTGGGGCCTCTGGAACTGAAATTGAGACAGAAAAGTTTCTCACTTGGGGGGCAAACCAGGGAATTATGATTCCTTGCAGGACACAGTGCAGTCTCTGTGAGAGTTCAGAAGTTCTGGACCCAGGCAATGGCAGGGAGACTAAAATATTTTTATAGGTTGAATAAAGTGCTGGTTAAACTGAATAGCTCTGGAATGTGTTCATGGGGGCAGCGTTAAGAACGTGGAGGAGGCCGGGCGTGGTGGCTCATGCCTGTAATCCTAGCACTCTGGGAGGCCGAGGCGGGCGGATTGCTCGAGGTCAGGAGTTCGAAGCCAGCCTGAGCAAGAGCGAGACCCCGTCTCTACCATAAATAGAAAGAAATTAGTTGGCCAACTAATATATATATAGAAAAAATTAGCCGGGCATGGTGGCGCATGCCTGTAGTCCCGGCTACTCGGGAGGCTGAGGCAGCAGGATTGCTTGAGCCCAGGAGATTGAGGTTGCTGTGAGCTAGGCTGATGCCACGGCACTCACTCTAGCCTGGTCAACAAAGCGAGACTGTCTCAAAAAAAAAAAAAAAAAAAAAAAAGAACGTGGAGGAGAGAATGTATGAAGAGAAAAGGGCAGGCTTCCTGGGTTTGCCTTAAGCAGAAAAGACTGAGGTTGAGACTGCGAGTATCCTGCCAACTACGCCAAACTGCAGGGTGAGAGTAGTTGACAGGGTGAGAGTAGTTGAGGCAGGCCTGTGAGGAGATCAGCTGCTTCTTCCCACGGAGCCAAGTCCCTAAGATAGGCGTTGCCACAGAGGATAAGGAAATGGATAGGCAACAGAGAGAAATAAAGGAATACAGAGAGACTAAGGTATAGTTTATAGTTATATATATATATATATATAAAGATCATATATATAACACAGCAGGGGGCACCTAGGAGACTGGCGCATCTCCATAAACGCAAGCAATATGGTTAGATTCATACAGGCTTTTATAATCACATACATCAATTACCAGTTGTCAGGGTAACATACTTGCATATCAGGGGATGCAGTTGCTAGGGGATACAGGTAGTGGGTTAGAGTCAAAAGTCCTCTCAAGGGGCTTCTAATCTATCTAGGTGAACAAGCAGGTACAAAGTTTTTCAGAGGCTAGCTTCTAAAGAGGTAGTTGTCAGTTAACAAAGGTAAAACAAAAGAAGTATAGTGACTCTATATATCTTTGATTAGTTATGGTGGACTTAAAGGTAGACAGACAGGAGAGAGTAGGAAGCCCATCTCTAATAAAACAGGTTGTTTATAACCACTGGGGTGCTTCTCTAGGCAAAGTGCACTCATTGTCTCCGGCTCCCATCCTGTGGGCCATGTTTGCCTTGTCTTGTCTTTTAAGACACAGGGAAGCTCACAGATTTTGAAATACTGGGAAACCTTCCTGGAAAACATCCCCACCGGAGATTTGAGAGCTCTCCCATGATAGCAGCCTCTAATAAGTGGACCATTGAGTCCACACATTCCTTTAGGGCAAAACCCTGCAAACTCCTGTTTCTGTCTTTAATATAGTAATATTGGGTTATACAAAAAAAATAATGGTCTTATGGGCCACACCTCATTAATTCCTCAATCATATTTTCCCAATATGGGACAGACAACCTGTCAACCCTGGCATTTTCCTTGACCATATCTGGGATGCGCCTCGCCTCTCCCTTTGATGTCCTCTCCAAGTGGACTCTGAGGGGATGGGCACTAGAGGGGAGGAGGAGGTCAGGATCACCTCAACTCTTTGTGATGGACCTGTGGAATAGGATTCTCCTAGGACAGTACATTCTTCTAGGACAGGACACCCTTTGCTACTTTGTACTGGAAGAACATGCAGCACTGAAAAAATATTATTGCTAAATTTGGTTTCCTGAGTTGCAGTGTGATTCTGTTTCTTGTTTGATTTGCCTTTTAGTGGTGAAAACAGCACAGTGACCTACCACTTGCAGTTCAGGGTTCCATCAGATAATGACAGTTTTATGAAGTATATGATGAGTGAAGAGTTGGTGCTGGGCATTTTGCTACAGGATTTCCATGATCAGAGCATACCTGGTTGTGAGAGTCTGGGGCTCGATCCAGAATCCCTTTTGCTGTACGGTAAGTAGAGCAAGTAAAGAAGTCAGAGTTGTACTGATACATGAGTGAACCAGACTGGGGACAGATGGTCTGGTTTGGTTTGACAACCTTGGTGACCTGGTATGATGTCAAATCATTCATCCAATAACTTGTGTACTCAGCCCATGGTGCTTCTGTTCCAGGCTCTATGGAGGTTACCTAGTCCCTGCACTCTGTAAGCAGACATTGTAGTTATAAAAAACAATCATGGAAAGGATAATTGAACTGTAAAGATGAAGGTTGGTAAATTTTTCCTTGTTGTAGTTCATCCACCTTCTAATCCCATGTTCTCTTTTACAACATCATTAGCAACCTTTATGTCGTTTCACAAGAGAACTAAGTATTGAGGAATTTGAAATAACGGGGATAGCTAAATTGTTGAAAGATTATCTCCTTTTGGAGATAATCTTTTTGTTTTTCTGTTGAAAGCCACTAAATTCATTAAGAAGTTAACGGAGGGGCATTAAAAAGCAAATTAATTTCTTTCTCTAGAAAATTAAAACAAATTTACTCATTTACTTTTAAAACTGAAAACAGAACAAGGAAATTGATATGTTATTTAATGAACATGGCCAACACCCTACTTGTCAGATTCTGAGAACTCTTTTTTTTTGAGATAGGGTCTCACTCTGTTGCCCAGGCTGGAATGCAGTTGTGTCATTGTAGCTCACTGCAGCTTCAAACTCCTGGGCTTAAGTGATCCTCCTGCCTCAGCCTCCCGAGCAGCTGGGACTATAGATGTGTGCCAACATGCCTGGCTAATTTTTCTATTTTTTGTAGAGACAGAGTCTTGAACTCCTGGCCTCATGTAATCCTCCCACTTCACCCTCCCAAAGTTCTAGGATGACAGGCATGAGCCACTATGCCAGCCTTAGACTCTGAGAATTTTTAATGCTTTGCATAAAACCTGACAAAAAGGAAGATTGGAAGGCAAAATGGCTCCCCACTTGGGAAATGTCCTTCCATTGCTTCTGGACCAGAGCATTTGCCTCTGCTTATGACCCCATATCCTTTCTCACTTCTGATACGTGACTTGGAGGCATGTTGGCTCTTGTTTAGCCTAGGATGCCAACAATCTTGGGTGTTTTATTATCTCATCCACAGTCCATGAAAAACAATTTCCACGCATTAGTAGGTACCCAGTAAATACTACTTAAGTGAATGAAGAAGGGAAATTAGAAGATGTGGTTAGCAGCAGGTGCAGTGGCAGCATCTAGAATCAAAAGAGTGGAACGGAGGATTGCAAAGCAGGTGCGTTACTACATGGTTTGAGAAGAGGTGTTTGTTATGACATTTCTTGATGATGGGAGGGAAAGTAGAGTAATCTCAGCCTGAGAAGACACAGAGCTATGTGCAGCAGTTCTTAAAGCTTTCTTTTCCCAAACGAATAAAAGGAACGACCTTCAGAAGGACACATTTTAGTTCACTGGAAAATTCTCATAAATGAATAGTTTTCTCACAGAGCATCCTGAATAAATAAAGTGTGTCTGTGGGTCAGGCAGACAGCATATGTGTGTGGGGTGAGGAGATTATGCCTCTGTTACAGGAATTTTAAAAAGAAAGGGAAAAACCCCCAAGCCTTCAGCCGCCACCTGTGTAACCAAACGTGTGATGCCGGTTGAGGCCACTGCTGGGTGTGACTGGTCCTGAATGTCTGAGGCCCCTCTATGAACTGCGGTGCTGGCTCCTTCCAAATGCAGGTGAGGGGGGTGGGAGGAGGGAGAGGAAAGGTTTGAGAGGGTAAGAGGCTGAGAAGTCCATACAGAGCAGGATAGAGGCATCGCTTGTGAGGCCTCAGGAGCTCTGAGAAGACCCCCGAGCTCGGCCAAGTGGCCTCAGAGCTGCTTCCCCAGGGCCAGGCACTGCGTTGGCCGCTGGGGATACAGCCGTGAGTTGCACAGCCCCTGCTCTTCTGTCCTCTTTCCCTCAGACATTTCTTCTGCGGGGACTTTCTGTGACCCATGTCCCACTTTCCAGAGCACGAATGTGCAGTATTCGAGCCATTTGACATTTTCAGGAATGTGAGTTTCAGCCCCCTCTCAAATGGAAGGGTGGACAGTGACCAGTGGTGAGGCGAGGACGGAAGAGAGACGAGTAGCAGGCAAGCAGAGGAAGGGATGAGCCCAGAGCCAGCTCTCAAAAAGGGGAAGACATGTGGCAGGAGAGGCCGAGTGAGAGCCAGTGGGCTCTCAGGGCAGTTTCCACCCACACATCAGCGTGGGTTTGGCGGGCTTCACCTCCCATCCCCATGATTACTGGGCAGCTAGTTGCTTGCAGTGATAATGTTCTTAGTCTTCTAAGAGCAAAGATTCTTAATATGATGACATGTGTTTGGTTCGTATATCCCTCAGAGATTGGAAGACAGCTGTGTCCCTTCTTCACAGAAAATAAAATGCACATACCCCTCCTCACTACATAAAATTGTACAGTTTCAGAGATTCCAAGGATTCCCTTGATACCATCCTGTGGTTCATTGGAGTTTCATATGTGTGTACTTTAGAGGTGGAACCTTAATTTAGTCTGTAATTTGGATTTCTGAGCGGTTTTGTGTGTGTACGCTTCTCATTCTATAATTTGGAAATACAGTAATTGTTGTGACCTGGCTGCAGGCATATTTTAATTCACTGTAAAAATAAAAACTTTCCTTAATATGTATTTATAAAGGAATTTTTAAAACTCTTCACTCCTCACCCTTCCCTGTTTTTGATCACCTTCACCTTATGGATGGTGGGGCCAGGTAAGATGGGGAAGTCTGTTTTACTAATGCCAAAGGATAAGTCAGAAGCATGAGTTATTTTGGACACAAATTGGTTACTTGGTACTGTTTCCTCACATGGGAAGGAGTCAGTCCTAGTAGACAGCGGAAAAAAAGACCAAAGCAGGGTTTTTGTGAGAGAGAAGAGGAAATAGCTCCAGGCAGTGAGAACAGTGAATCTCGCTGGCACATTTTGGGGTAGGCTGATGGGTGTTGCTGGCACAGGGCAGTGCATGTGTTCTGTCCTTGGAGAGGCTTCTCGCTGTGTAAGGAGCGCCGTTTGCATTGTTTATGGATTTTCCAGGAAAGTGAAGAGTTTAATCGTGGAGCACTAGTTCTCAACCTGGTAGTGATTTGCCCCGCCACGGGTATTGGTGATGTCTGGAGACATTTTTAGTTGTCCCAACTGAAAGTATATGTGAGATGCTAGCATCTAGTGGGCATGAGCCAGGAACTCCTCTAAACAGAGGAGTTTAGACCTAGTTTAAACACCCTACAATGCGCACAGCACAGTTCTCGACAGCGAAGGGTTCTCCAGCCCCAGATGCCTGTCGGGCCGAGGCTGAGAACCCTGCTGGGGAGACGTGGGCTGTCCCTGCACAGTGCCAGAGACTGCTGGTCTTGCACGTGCACCTCCACCAGGGCCCGCTCTGCGCCATTTCCTGCATCAGAAGTTTCATGCTGTGTCATAAATGTTTTAAAAGACTAAAGCTTCAGAGGTATTTTTATGGTTAGATTATGAAAAAGGACTGAATGTTAAAATGTTCTTAGTATCCAAAAGCCACATCAAAATGCTTATCATGAATATTTATCATGTTGCTCATTTGCCATAAGCAACAAATAATGAATGTTATTTTGCACTTTGAAAAGTATTCCGAGAGGGTGGTGTGTGTGTGTGTACTGAAGAGTAAACGTCCTCTGTTAGGAATTCACGAACATTCTAATTTTATCCAAGACTTACTCAAACGAAACCCAATAAAAACATAAATGTTTACAATAATCATGATTTTAAAAATTACTGACTTCTCTTCACCCTGTGTCTTCTTTTCAGAATGAAGTGGTGGAGGTCGGTCCATGTCCGGAAGCAGTGCTCCACTGAGTTTTGGAGATGAAGAGCATTCTTTCTGTTTTACTGAAAAAATCCTGTGGATCAATAGAGAAGAACCCAGCAATGACCAGAGGGGTGGAGACTGGGCCTTTCTCTCCCGATTCTGCACAGTTACAAAGTCTGGCTCCATGTCCAGAGAAACCGCTCTCCACAGCATTTGAGGTCACTGCTATTCTTGAAGCACCAGCCACCTCTGCCCACACGTGGGCACTTTCTCTTTACGGCGGGGGTGGTGCACTGCCCCCTTTAGGCAGGGTCCTCTTAGCAAGCACTGCTGGAGCAGGGCGGGGCAGGCAGCCAGGTGAGGGAGATTGAGCCAGTCACTCACTGAAACCCCCCTCCTCCCTCCCACCATTATATTAGCTCTACCTCTAAGCCAGGCCGTGAGGACAGGGAAAGCACTTTATAAGACCCGAGCAGCATAGCTGTGTGTCTACTTCCATGACCCGTGTAAGACACCTGGGTATCTTAGCAAAACAGCCTTAGGCATATCAACCTAATGTTACTGTGATATAGATATATGTGTGTGTGTATATATTTGTGTATATGTCTATAGCTACAGGAAGAAGATGTACGTTTCTTAATTATTTTGCATCTCCTCATTGTTCCTGTGATTCCTGAGCACCTGTTTTGGAAACATGAGTCCCTTTTAGATTTGAACATACTACTGTCATTTGGATAGTCACCCCGTATTTTTGTAAACTTCCATCAGAGTTCACGAAGACTGTTTAACATCTGCTGTGGATATTACACATTGGCTCTTTACTGCCCAGAGTCCTTAGGTATTGATTGTGTATCTTATCACAGATGGTTGGGATACAGGAAGAACCACTCTCCTTTGGAAATAATCCCTTGGAAGCTTAAGACAAGATCATTTGGGAGCTAGGAGGAATATTATTGACTGTATGGGTTGTCTGTGGATATAGAATTGCCTGTCACGAGGGAATAGAGTATTTGTTTTATCGGGAAAATTGCTTTGTTGAGAATTTACCAAGAGAAAGAGTTTTGTGGTTATACAGTGAGCGACTCTTAGCCCCGATCTCTCAGTTAAATTAGCTGAGGGAGGAAGTCCGTGTGAGGGCAGCTGTGTGAGGTGTGTGGCAGATTGTTTATCACAGGCTAGATTTGACTTGAGCTCCTTATGCCCCAGGACTGAATAATGTGAATTCACTTTTTTATCTAACTAGAAGATATATGTACTGTAGCATATTGTCTCATTTTAAAGATAGTTCCTTAAACTAGTGACACTAGTGGATTTCCCTTCTTCCTCTTTTATTTTTTACATGTCAAATGTGAGCCTTAGTGCCTTAGAGCCTTTCTTATTTTTAGAAAATAATGGAGAATTTTAACGGAGAATGATTTAAAAACATGTACAATAAATTCTTTTTGCATCTGCATTGTTGCATTCACATTTGCCTCAAAGGGCCCGTTGAGTCTGGAAACAGGATTTGGTTTCATGCTTTCTTTCTTCTTTAGAAAGCACCAAGATGCAAGTACTTTGTCTTGGGTTTTGACCACTTGCAAGTCATAAAGGGGACTTTCCACAGGTTTGATTTTTTGAGCCAGATAGTGTGGAAAGGACTGACCTTTGTGACTGAAACATTTTGAGGTGTTTGAAAAAAATGACCCTTGCTTTCTTATACGCTGCTCTGCTATAGGAGAGAAACGTATTGGCTGTCACACATCTTAAATGACAGGCATAATGTGTTGTGCTTGTAAGGTTTCAACAGATATCTGTGAAACCATTGAAGGATTTGAGAAGAAAAACTGCTCTTTTCTGGAAGCCACTTAGGTGTGGATATGTTACCAAACACTCGGCATCTGTCCACGAGGCTAAATCAGAGGAACAAGTATAAATATTTTGGGGAGGAGGAAAGAGATTTACTTTGCCTGTAAAAGAGGAAAAATTATCTCAAAATCCAATTTTTTCCTGAACATAGGTAGAAATGCGGATCTTTTAAAGGGAGAGCCCCTCAGTTGTATTGTGGTTAACTATTCTAATTGTCCCATCTGTGCCAAAGACAAAGCTTGTGAGCTCCTCCAGCCACCTGCTGAGAGTGGTGCCACCTGCTGAGGGTGGTGCCACCTGCTGAGGGTGGTGCCACCTGCTGAGGGTGGTGCCACCTGCTGAGGGTGGTGCCACCTGGGATAAGAGCAAAAGGCCTTCTCCCTGCTCCTCCCCACCACTGGCCTGAGGCAGGGATGCAGGTTTCAGTTCTCAAAGAGTTGGGGAAGTTTCCAAGAGCCAGAAAAAAATTTTTTTTGCTGTTTTTTTTTATTTTTGAGGCCATTCCCTCTGTTACGCATTCCCCACTCTCAATATTTTGCTTCCATGTCTATGGGAGGAGGGCGACTGCTCTTTTCAGATAGAGAGGAGACAGCCAGATCAGTGGAACCCTCTCCTGTCCCCCTGCCAACAAAATTCTAGCCATGTGTCCAATCCTTTTTTTGCTTTTTAATTTAATTTAGTTCTGTAGGTTTTTAAAAGTGATGTGTTTTATAGAAGAAGCCTATATGGGATTCCAGTGGAGAAGAAGACAATAAGAAAAGAAGCTGCTAGTGTTATTAGGGAGTCAGGACCTGCCCAGATGAAACAGGAAACAGTAGGAAAAAAATGCCCAGATGTTAAAAACAAAGAAAGACAAACTGTAGGGGTGTGGGTGGTCAGAGAAAAGAGTGGTCAGTATAGTTTAACTGGAGAAGGCTTTTTATAGGAAAAAGGACTCTAACCGAATTCTGAAGCACTGACTGGTGGGATTTGAATAAGCAGATTTACTTTTCTTTATGTTTGTGTTTGCTGGGGCTGGAATGCAGTGGGGTGGTCACAGCTCACTACGGTCTCAAATGGCTGAGCTCGAGTGACCCTTCTGCCTCACCTCCCAAGTGGCTGGGACTACAGGCATGGGCCACCACAACACCTAGCTAATTTTTGTAGAGATGAAGTCTAACTATGTTGCTCAGGCTGGTCTTGAACTCCAGGCCTCAAGCAATCTTTTTGCCTCAGCCTCCCAAAGTGATAGGATTGTAGGTGTGAGCCACCGTGCTCTCTTTCTCCTTTTTCTGTTAGATGTGAATTCTGGACATGAACTCCTGCCCTAGTCAGAGTCTGGTCAATGCTAAGAAAAATGGGAGAAATCTCTCAAAGTTCTCCCTTCTCTTCCATGACTGGTTCATTGCTTTGAAATAAGTTAATTCACACTGTTGCTGCATTGTGGGCAGCTTTATCCACAGACATCCTTTAACATTTCCTATATGATTGGAGATCATAGACTTAGCATCAAAAGGGAGCCCTCCATCTTACAGTTGGGAACCAAGGCCTGGAGAGCTGGAAGGACTAGCCCAGAGCTCCATGGTTCATTGGGGGCAAAGTCCAGCCTGCTGGGCAACCGTAAGTGATGAATGGCCTGATAGCAGCCCCAGGGGCACGCTCAGTTCAGGCTTGGTTGACTCCTGGCAGTCCGTGAGGAGCACAAGTGGTCTGGAGAAGGGATGAAACAAGGGGGAAGGCCACCAGACTACAGAAGACTTTCTGTGATGATAGTGACCACTCAGTGCTTCACCCAGCACCTTGCAAAAGAACCCTCTTTAGGAAACCCATTGAACAATTGGCAGGACCCAGGTACACTTAGATCAAGTGGCTTTCTGAGCTTAAGAGGCTATAGGCCTAGAAAAGAACAGAGTCAGATAAATGTAAACAGAATCTCCTTTTCTCTACAAGCCGCTGTGGAGTCCTAGAGACTCCTTTTTCTGTTCTGCCTATGACCTTCTGTCCCTGAGAATATCTGAAGTGCTTCTCACCCAAGTTTGTCCTAAAAACATTAACATTTGAACCTGTTGTCAACAGTAGATTTTCCTGCCCTATCTATGCCCTCTTCCTATTTTTGTATTCTTTTTTAAAAAAAGAATTTATTCACAGAATAGGGGATTATTTATGGATACTGGTATGCACGTAAAACGGAAACCACAGAGTCTGCAGTTGCTGCATAAATTGTTCCTCTGAATTTTAGCTATGTACAGTTTTAAGACCAGCGTGGGGGAGGGGTGTGTTCTGGTTATATCTGTGCTTTGAGAGACTAATTTAGATGTTCAGCTTCAATTTGTCTATCAAGAAGAGGGATTCTTATACTGAGGTATTGTATCCCTAACCCCTTCAAATCATATACAAATGTGTGTGGGGTGTCTGTGTGTGTGTGTGTGTGTGTGTGTGAATATACATTTTCTGCAAAGATGGCAAACAGCTTCATCAGAAATCCTGAAATCTATGAAAAACAGGATCAGCATTATATACTGGATTTTTTTTACATTAAAATGTATTTACTAGAAAATTTGAGACTTTTACACATTAAGTACATTAAAGTTATGTCATAGAATCTTTTTCTTCAACTTTTTGTTATCAATAATATATATATTTTTTGAGACACAGTCTCACTCTGTTGCTCAGGCTAGCATGCCATGGCATCAGCCTAGCTCACAGCAACCTCAAACTCCTGGGCTCAAGCAATCCTGCCTCAGCCTCTTGAGTAGCTGGGACTACATGCGTCACTATGTCCGGCTGATTTTTTTCTGTATATGTTTTTAGTTGGCCAATTAATTTCTTTCTATTTTTAGTAGAGACAGGGTCTCGCTCTTGCTCAGGCTGGTTTTGAAGTTCTGACCTTGAGCAATCCTCCTGCTTCAGCCTCCCAGAGTGCTAGGATTATAGGCATGAGCCACCTCGCCCGGCCTCAATAATATTTTTGATTGACAAATCTATATATACATTATAGTGAGTATTTTGAAGCACTCCCAAATGGCTCTGCTCAAAAATAATTCAATTTTGTAATCCCTTTATTATAAGAACAACTTTCTTTGGTTAAGTATTTATGCTTAATATGTTCCTGATAAAAGGTATATACTGCTTGGGACAGGTAATGCTTTGACAGGATAAGGTTCAAACAAATATAACTTACTGTAATAGGAATATTTCAACCAACCAACTTCCACAATGGTCCAATATCCACGTGAAAAATCCCAGCATAAACCCATGGATTGGGTGTTTCTGCCTCACTAGAGGACTGCTGGGTGACCCGGGATCACCAGATGCATCAGCGTGTTTTTCTCCATACACCATAAAAGATGTTTGTTTCTCTTTCCTCTTTGGTGTCATTTATTCAGAGTCTGTGATAGATGATTTGCGTACCTTCGATGTAATCCTTCTCTTAATGGGGTGAAAAAGCTGAGCCTCCAAGTAACAGGTGCAAAGTTACAGAGGGAGGAAGAGATAGAACCAGAATTTGAATGACTGATTATCTGTCTCTGGGGTCCACACTCTTTCCCCTACGCCCCGTTACATCTCGTACAGTATTTCACTGCTTCTTTTGAACCTGAGTGAATCCTGGCCACGGATCTAAGTTAGGGTTCCATGGGGAAAAATTTTTGCTAAAAGTAGAAAGCAGAGTACAAGATACCAAGATGTGATTGGCTCTCTAACTGAAGACCACTGACTGGCTGTAGTCTCAGCAAACCGGTGACATATTCACACTCAAGCAACTGGATTTATCTCTATTTGGCACTTAGCACATTTTAAATGGCAAAGTTATTTAGCTTTGGTTAACTTTGAAAACAAAACAGTAAACACAATGCATCTACTGCTTGTTTCAACAAAACTCTTATTATTTTAACATCCTTAAACTTAGTACATTAAGTTTAATGCTTAAGTCAAACAGAAAGTCGAGAACACAGGTGTGTAAGTAGAAATAGATGAATTTGCTAAACCGTCTTAGTCTCACTCATCCGATTCGTGGTTTAATATTTTTACACTGTTTTATCGGTACGTGCTCTTATGCCTCAATAACCAAACACATTTCTGTTGAGTTTGTCCCAAACTATGATCATTTAGGGCAGAGGGCTGCAAATTTTTTTCCAGAAAGGGCCAATGTGTAAATATTTTTGGCTTTGTAGGGCCTATTGTTTATGTCACAACTACTCAACTCTCCCATGGTTGGGCAACCATAGATAGTATGTAAACAAATAAGTATGGCTGTGTTCCAAAATAACTTTATTTACAAAAACAGGTGGTGGGCCAGATTTGGCCTGGGAGCCATAATTTGCTGACCCCTCATTTAGAGGATAGATATAATTCTAGGAACACCAAAGAAAAGGTGAGGAAAAGTAAATAACCAAGGTATATAGTAGAGTGTTCATTAGAGAAAGTGTGTGTGTGTGTGTTATTTTTCCCATGTGAACATTTTATTCATATTTTTTATATGTTACATTATTAAATATGTACATTTACTATAGAGGGTCTTCTATGTAGTATATTGGAGGAGCACTGAATTGGAAGGCAGAAGAAAATCAGGCTCTCAATAAAGTTTTGCCACTAGCTTTAATGTATCATTGGACAAACTATCCTCTCTGAGCCAAAAAAGGATAGTGGGATTGAAGAATCTCTCAGTATCTTTCTACTCTAACAATCTCTGATGCTATGATTGTCTTATTAAGATTTTGAGGAAGAAATATGAAATTAAAAACAAAATCATATAAGTTAAAATTATATAAAAATCTGGCCGGGAACCTCCTGATTCAACCTCACATACCCAAGGAAGCCACGGAGGACACTATGTGGAGCACGTGGCCCAGACGCATGGAGTGAGAGCAGCACCACTGGCTCCCCTTGGGGGTGTGGCTGAGCAGGAAGGTTGCTGTAATGAGTGGACTCCCCCCTGGGTAGTATAATGGTATAGTGGTATCATGAGTAAAGCTTCCTTCTGACTTCAGAGAAAAATGTGATGGGGACACTTTATAAGAAGATCACTAGAGAAGAACGGAACCCTCTGTGGTGTGCACAGCTGTAGGAGAACCAGGGAGCCCCTCCCACCTCCCACCCCAAGCCACTTAGAACCAAAGACGGTCAATCTTTTCTCAAATAATGGCATTCAGGATAACTGGTTGGTCTTTGGATGTTGGCTTCTACACAGAATCTAAGAGGCCCTGTGGTTTGCAAACCATGTTCTGTGGGGAAAGGCTTGTTGTGGGAGGTGAGCTGGGAGATCTTTGCACCCCCTCACCCCCAATTTTTATTTGCTGATGCTAAACAAGTGCTCTTCTAACTGCTGCTTTATATATGGGAAAACTTAGTCTCAGGAGGGGCTGTAAGCAGCCGTGGCTGTTGCAGAAAGTGAGAGGAGACTCTGGGAGGCACGAGAAGTTCATATACATCTTCTGCGCAAGGTGGGTGCCTCGGGGTGGAAGGCACATGCAGAAGTGAATACTCAGTCTTAGTTCCTCTCGAGTACTCTCTGGGCCCCTCAGCCTCGCCAGGAATGTTCTCATAGTACTTCTCAGCGGAGTTCCCGGATGGCCTTCCCTGAAGGACCCCGTGATCGATGAGGGTGTAGTACAGCTCCTCTGCGTAGGTCTGGTCAGAGGTGCCCTGCTGGTCAAAGGACAGCCATGATCAAGTTTGGCCTCTTGTCATTCCCTTTACATTTCAGTCGCAATGCAGGTCTGACCCTAGGTAAAGTTTATCTTCTACAGCCACCTTCTCCCCAGCTCTTGGCCATTTTTTCTAAACAGCTGTCTCTACCCCAACCACTAGGCAAGACAACCAGCATGCCCATGTTGCCCGACTACACAGCCTATCCAGGCGTGTCCTCTGCCTCATATTCCAGAGCCACCCCTGACCCCCCTCCCCCATACGATTCCCCAAGTCTCGGCTCCAAGGGCAGCCCATTCTTATAAAACAGAACAATCTGATGATAGCTTAATGTGTTTGGGTTATGATATTTAACCACTCAGGCTAGAGATATTTGCATTATGAAATAGGGAAACAACTCAAGGGAAGGTTTCACTCATCATGGAATCTCAGGAGATAAAAAGCAAAGCAGCAAAGTATACAGGAAAGATCATGGATTTTGAAGTGACACTTAGTTTTGAATCCTGGCTCTGCCATCTTGTCCACTGTCTGGCTTTGGGGGAATATCACTAAATCTCTTAGTTTTCTCATGTGTAAAATAGTGGCAGTGTGGGAATAATAGTAGCAGTCTCATGAGGACAGTCACATGAGAGGATGCATATAAACCATGTTGCCTGTCATAAACAAAGTGATCAGTACATGTCAGTTCCTTTCAATAATTGAACAGAAAAAGTAAGTGGCTGCTGCTTCTGCCACCAGGCCCCGCGTATGCCACCTGGGCTCACAAGCACTGGCATCCAAAGTCTTTCTTCCATGGAGGGGTCAGAGGGGGTATGGGAGACCAACTTCTCCTGCCATCTGGGGGCCTGCACTTCTACCATCGTCTCAGACAATGTCTTAGAGCTGTTCTTCTTACCTGGATGGGAGCAGCTGGTGTTCCTTCGTCTGCAGAGAGAAAATACACTCAATGAATTTCAGGTTATGGGGAGATTTGAGGGAAGGGGAGGGGAGATTGGAATATAAGCAACTAGAGAACTGGGGCACAGCTGGAGTAGCCCTTATCCAGCTATTCTGATCTCTAGCACATCCCTGGGGAGGATCAAGAAAGAGCCAGACCTGTGCTGAGTCTGAGAGGTGAAAGGAGGGAGACACATTCGGTGGGCCTTTGGATAGGAAATCACACTCTGTTCCTGTCTCCCTCTTCTCCTCCACCTGCACCCTTCCTTATGCAAAAGTCACTGCATACTTACTCTGTACCAGGCACTGGGGAGACTAAGAAGAATCAGAAAACAGTCCCTGTCCTCAAGAGATTCAGAAGCTGGCAAAGGAGGCAGACAAGGGGTTGTGAAGGATGCACAGTGCAGAGAGGAGGCTGTCGTTTCCACCATGGGCGACAGCGGGTGGTGGGAGTATAGGGGCTGGCACCAGAGGAAAGCTTTGCAGAAGAGGAAACTCGTAGGCTGAACATTCCTGTTCCTGTAACCGCTGGCAGATCCAAACACGAGCAGGCCAATTTTTCAAAAGCCAATTCACTTAAAACCAACTGGCTCTGGCCATTGAGGAGAGAAGTGGACACACCTGCTACCCCCTTGCAAAGACACCAGCAGGAGAAGCAAACACGTGCTCACATGGAAGCCTACAGTGGAGGCCTCTGTATGCTGCATGGATTGACACTCCTCCTTCCATCGTGACATCCCAGATTCCTACATCTCCATAAACCCCTATGGACATCTAGGACTTTACTAATTATCATTATAAGAAAAGCATCTGTGAGTTTTAACATCCGGTTTAATTCTACCATGTGTTGCTCTGATGGCGCTTGGGATTCTCTGGGACCCACCATCTCCCGGGGTGACATGGGTGGGGGTGGCAGGGCTATATTATTCATTTATACACCTAACAGGCCTAGCTTTCAAGATTCAGCATGAATGAACTAGGGGTAGGCCTTGAACTCAGGAAGGCAGAGTCAAAACTCCGTTTTTCTTCTTCAAAAATGTGATGCCCTTTCCTCAGGCCTACACTTTCTTATTTTTTCTCTTACCTAGGATACTATTCACCATCCTCTCCTTAAATTCTTCTCTCTCCTTAACTTCAACACTGCTCTGTCACTGGAGACCATTGCACCAATCTCCTAAGTGGTTTTGTGGCATTTGCTCTTGTCATTCTCTGCCGCAATTTGTTCTCCACAGAGCAGCTGGGGAGATCTCTTTAATGCAAATCTGATCGTACCTACCCCTGTGCAAAGCCCTTCAGTACCTCCTGTAGCTCTCAGGATGAAGATGCAAATCTTTAACTTGGCCACAGGACCCCTTCCCTCCCCTGTGCTCTCTGTATTTTGCCTTTTGCCTCCACCTCTTGCGCTGACTGTCCCCAGTTAACTCCTCCAACCTCCAGACCTCAGGCACTGACTGAGGAATGTGGAGATATATGAGCCAACCCCCGCTTCCGTGAGCTCACAGTCTAGTAGGGAAAAACGTGCAGTTGGACAGATTGCAGCAAAATGTGAGGGTTTCACACTGGAAATATGCCCAAAGGGCTTTGGGAGCATAGAGAAGGGGCAGTTTGGAAACGAAGTGAAAATGACAAAAAAGTGATGACTTACTTTCCTTTTGGGAATCTTGTCTCTCTTTGAAAATGTGTGGTTTTTTCCTGTAAAAGAAGAGAAGTTGGTCGTTTTAACATTCAGAACCTCTCAAAAGAAACTATATAAACCTATAAACTTATTTTTAACTCTTTAATCTGTTAAAGTTATATGACTTTTATAATACCTCCTTCAGCATAAACAAATTAGGTTAAAAAAAAGAAGAGAAAATGAAAGATGAGGTCAAGTAGAAATGCATTCTCTTATGCTTCTTTCTTTCTCTCTTCTCCCTTTTCTAAATCTGATAGAGAATTGCTTTATAGATAGGAAACTATGGTGATATTATAGGTTTCTTTTTTTGGAGAATTTTTTAAGATACAGTAGCAATTTCTTTTCTATCATAAGAGTGAAGAAGCCAGGGTTATTTCTAATCCAATTCTAATCTATGATCTCAAAAACAAGCAAACAAATTCCTCCCATAGAGCACACAGTATAAAAGACCCTCTGGAAAAATGCAGCATAAATATTAATATAATGGAAGCCCATTGTCATCTCAGGAAACAAGGACAACATCTGCTGTAAGGAAGATGACCATATGCCCTGGTTTGTTCAGTCTGGTTAATGTCGTTATCAATTACTTAGTGACCATTAACTATTTTTAGCATCCTTTTCACTCTCAAAGATATCCTAGTTTGGATGTTACATTATATGATCACCCTGACTGTAAATTATCTCTGCAAGGGACAGAAATGTGTGCTTTTGTACATGGAGACTCTGGGATTTGCAGTATAAAAACGAGTCTTTCTGTATGCATGTTAGTTTCATCCTTGCCTCTGAGGCTTTCCTGTTAGAGGAGAGGATGCCACCCATGAGATACTGTTCCTGTTTCTTACCCAACTTGAAGGGTTGCTTCCCTGATCGACTCTCAGGTGACTGTGTCTGGGCTAGTGACAGGCTTTCGTGTGGTCACGGGCAGCAGGAGTTCACAGGTAACGTACAGCAAACACCACACTGAAACCACACTTAGGGAAATAACACCGAAAAACAAATCTCCACTCACCATGGAAGGCAGAAACACCCTTCAGCGGTATGGCAATCCCAGCACCTAAAATACCCAAGAGAAATGACGCAAATCACAGAATGATTTCTGTAGCTTTTTATCCCCAAGAGAGTATTGATCCTAGGTGACTTGGACACATCTCTCATATAGACTGCCTTTTTCCTTCTAGGATGAAGATGACACTATCAATTCCTAATTAGGGAAAAAAACTTTCTGTTGTATTCCCAGCAAAGGGAAAAATTTTCTCATTCTCAATTATAACGATTGACTTATGATGAAGAACACATAAGAGTTATCTCCCCGAAATCAAGGTACAAGGTACAAGTGTGTGGCCATTATTGAAATCATTTTTTTCAGGCTGAATGCCGTGGCTCACACCTGTAATCCCAACAATTTGGGAGGCTGAGGTGGGAGGATCACTTGAGGCCACGAGTTTGAGACCAGCCTGAGCAACATAGCGAGACCCCCGTCTCTATAAAGAGTAAAAAAATTAACTTGGCATGATGGCATTTGCCTGTAGTCCCAGCTAATGCAGGAGGATCTCTGGAGCCCAGGAGTTTGAGGTTGCAGTGAGCCATGATGACATCACTGCACTGTAGCCTCTAGCCTGGGCAACAGAGTAAGACCCTGTCTCCAGAAAAAAGGTAAATTAAAAAAAAATTCTTTTTCTCAGGTATAGGTTAGGAAATATCTGTATAGGATTCCACTTCACTTTGAATTTCCTCCAGTTTATGCTATATTATAATTGTCTGCTCACTTGTCTATATCCTATACTAGAACGTGAGCTTCTCAAGTTGGGACTTATATTTATCTTGTTCATCATGGTATGCATCACCAGTGTATGCCACAATGCCTGACACACAGTAAATTTTTTTCAATGAATACTTCATGAAGATATGAATAAAGAATGAATAGCCTGGCCGGGTGCGGTGGCTCACGCCTATAATCCTAGCACTCTGGGAGGCTGAGGCGGGTGGATTGCTCAAGGTCAGGAGTTCGAAACCAGCCTGAGCAAGACCCCGTCTCTATTATAAAAATAGAAAGAAATTAATTGGCCAACTAATATATATATATATATATATATATATATATATATATATATATATATAAATTAGCTGAGCATGGTGGCGCATCCCTGTAGTCCCAGCTACTCGGGAGGCTGAGGCAGGAGGATTGCTTGCGCCCCGGAATTTGAGGTTGATGTGAGCTAGGCTGATGCCACGGCACTCACTCTAGCCTGGGCAACAAAGCGAGACTCTGTCTCAATAAAATAAATAAATAAATAAAAAATAAAGGACAGGAGGGAATATTTTTGGTGTTAATCTTTATCTCAATTGTGATGGTGGCTAAGCGAGTGAATGCATATTTCTTAATCCATAGAACTGTATACTAACAAGGGTGCATTTACTGTATGTAATTCATATCTCAACATATACTTCAACAAGTATATGTTGAGCGCCTTCTATTTGCTGGGCACTGAGGGCTCAATGATGACAAAGTGGATACAGGTGTGCTCTCATAGAGTTCCTTGAAATAAAATAAACCAAAGTGCAAAATACTTTATTGCTTATGCTTGAATAACACAGAGGTCGTACTGAAAACAGGAGTGGGATGGGCAGTGGGCTCAGAAGAAACAGTTTTAGAGAAACTGGGGTGCTGGTTGTGGAACACCAGACCCATGCGCTACATATTGGCCCTGCTCTCCAGACATCAGTCTGCCTCTGTGAGCCATTTCCAGGAGCACTTTATTTAAAATGGTAGAGAGGTGAACATTCCCTGCCTAGGAGTTGCATTCTGGAATGCTTTCCAGAAGAAAGTATTCTGGAGTGACAAGGGCCTGTCAGAGAAAGGAGGGTTTTTACCAATCCAGGAGGGCTTGCTGCACGGAAGCAAGATATATTATTATTTAGAATATTTTAATACTATAAGGACGAACACAAACTAACAATAAGAGGCCTAATTCTTGCTGTTGAAAATAAAGAAACTTCTTCCCTCTTTTTTCTTCAAGCATTCACTTTAGAAAACATTTAAGCTTTTCCTCTACCTCTTTGAAATTTATGTAAATCTCTTTAAAGGCAAATATGCAATGCAGGAATATTTCCTCCAGGACCTGGAAGCCATCTCTTTGAAAGGTAATCATGAAGGAAGATAGTGCCCCTATCTCCCAGTTTTCCTGGGAGTAGAGGAGCCTAACTTCAGTTAACAAATCTACTTCCAATCAAAAAAAAAAAAGGAGAAATTTATTTTTTCTTTTAAAGGCAATTAGCAAACACACTAGTGAAACAATTTCAGATGAACTATGTGTGACAGATGGTGCTGTCAGCTCCTCTTATTTGAGGACTAGTCGTTGTTTATCTTGAATGTGTACAGTGGATTATATCTGGTTGGCTATATAAAAGGGCAAGACCTCTTTCTGCTTTTGTAATCTCTTCAGAGGATTGCTCGTGATGCACCTTACCTTCTGGTTTAATGTTTATTCAAAAATAAAAGTGTTTTCTTTCTCCTCTACTTTTGTGAAGAGCTTTTCTGGAATGGCAGGAGATTTTGCTTATAATTCTGTTTCCCTAATGGTAGCTCCATTAAACTTTTCATTAATCCTTCAGGTAACTGACTCTAGAAAAGACCAAGTATTCAGTGCCTCAAGGGTGGCAGATTTTCTTATTTTGAGAATATCTGAAATTCAGGAAAACCCTCTTTTCAATGAATTAGATGAAGCAGTGAAATAAGAGAAAATTCTTAATGAAGCTTATATTAAAAATTAGGAGTGTCCGCTGCATGTAGATCTAAGAAATCTGGGGCTCCCCTAGTCTATTTGTCCATTCTCCTCTTTCAAAATCCCTTCATTTCCCAGGCTGGATCACTTAGGGATTGTCTTCCAACTTATCTAAAGCTTCTTTTCTGTGTATAGAAAATCTGAGACAACAACCAATGATCCGCTATTTTATGTATGAAGAAAGTTGTGTGTGTATATGTGTGAGAGAGAGAGAAAGAGAGTGAGACTGAAGGAATCTTGATATAGTGTTGTAAGTAACTTTTCTCTTCCCCATTGTCTTTAGAAAAATATGAAAAATATCCATCCAATCTAAAAGTCCCTCCTCTCTGTGGGCTCAGCACCTTTTGTATTGTACTACTTAAAGGCCAGCAGCAGGACACCAGAGTGTCTCAGCGTTATGGAAAAGACAAAAAATGGACAAGAGTGCTCAGCCAGTGAGTAGGGCTTTTTTTTTTTTTGACAGACAGAGCCTCACTCTGTGGTTGGGATAGGGTGCAGCAGCATCACCAACTTACTGCAACCTCAAACTCCTCTGCTTAAGTGTTCTCCTGGGCAGCCTCCCTGAGTATGGAGCAATAGTCAGGTGCCACTACGCTTGGCCTAATTTTTTTTCTGTTTTTCGTAACGAAGACGGGGTCTTGGCTCTTGCTCAGGCTGGTCTTGAACTCTTGACCTCAAGTGATCTCCCACCTTGGCCTCCCCACCCTACAGGATTACAGCCACCACACCCATAGTGGTTATTGACACCTCACCAGTATGAATTAGATATCCAGACTGTGGGTGGGGCAGCTTGAGCAGACAGAGCCTGGCCATGGCCCATGGCTTAATTAGTTCCAATGCTGTCTTGAGGCATCTTCCTGTCCCAGAGAGTGAGCAAAGCAGCG